GCCACACTCAGTGCCTCCAGTGTTCAGTGGAGAAACTGCACCGTGGACACAAAACCTGGGGAGAGGGTCGAAGCCGGCGCTCCTACACAAGCCTCAGACCTTCCTCCGTCTCTCGCATCTGTCCCAGAGTAGGTTAGCAATTTCAGGTAAGTTACCAGTCTGGGGTTGCTCCTGAAGTTCTTGGGACACTAGCATGGCATAGGGTAGGCTTGTGAGGAGCACGTCACCAGGAGTGACAGAAGTGGCTGCAGCCCCATTGGACCCAGGCCGGCGGGGCAGTGCGCCCCCTGCTGGAGCAAAGGATAAGAGGCGGCTTTGGTAACATCAGAGAAGCCCGGCTCTCCAGAGCACCTGAGGCAGACCTCAGAGGCAGACCAGCTTTAGGTCTCCCTGTCATGGCAGGCTGATGGCTGCCCTGTTTAGCAGCAACCTCAAGCCGTAGCTCCAGAGCAGCTGCCAGTACAAGTCCACAGCCTGCAACTGTTGCAGATGAGCTGGGCTGCCCTAACTCCCAGTCTGTAACTGAGGCCAGGTTCTATGTCTTTCTTGCTCCAGAAAGGAAAGCACTATCTCTCAGAGCAGGTGGACGGGGCCCTGTGGTCCAAGGCTGTGCAGGGACTTGGAACATCATTCATCTCTCTTACACACACACACACACACACACACACACACACACACACCTTTCTCTCTCAACAATCAACAAATGTACAGAAAAGTTGCAAGTACAGTACAAAATGTTTTTCCCTGAACTATTTGAGAGTAGTTGCCACAGCTGTCTCATCACCTCTGAATAATTTGATGTGGTTTTCCTTTATTCTCCTATGTAGCCAGAATACAATGACCAAAATCAGGAAGTTAACACCGATACATTACTACCATCTAAACTCAGACTATATTTAAGTTTCATCAGTTGTTCCAGTAATATCATTTTTAACAAAAGGATCTAGTTCAAAATCACGTGTGGCATTTGGTTTCTATGTCTCCTTAGTCTCTTATTCTGGAACAGTACCTCAGTCTTTCCTTAACGTGACTTTGACACTTTTGAAGATTTGGGCCATCTGTTCTCTATTTGGGCTTGTCTGATGTTTGCTCGTGACTAGATAGCGGTTATGCAGAAATATCTACAAGATGGGAAGCTGTGTTCTTCTCATTGCATCTATTAGGTTATACACAATTTCAGTTTGGCCCAGCACTGATAATGTTTCTTTAATTGCTTGCGTGAGGCGGTGTCTGCCAGGTCCCTCCACTGCGAAGCTCCTCTCTACTGCCTGCCCTGCCACTGCCAGGACACCCTCCTTGCCCTACCGCAGCACCAAGCCTGCCCTGCTGTGAACCCCTTCTACCTAACTAGGGTTCTGATACCTGCTCTCGCCCACCCCCCTTTCTACCTAATTGCTTTAGGACTGAATTGTTCAGGAAGAAGAAGGAGGAAAAAGGGGGAGAGAAAGAGCCTTCCTTCATTTTTCAACACTAATAAGCATGCGCTGCCAAGCACGGTCTAAGCACTTTAAGTCTTGTTAACTCATTCAATTTTCATAACTGCCTATGAGGGAGGTATGCTGTTAGCCTCATTTCACAAGCAGAACTGAAACACAGTGATCAAGTCTCTTGCCCTGGGCACCAGCCAGCAGCTGGCAGACCAGGCTTTGATCCCAGTGGTATGGCTCTCAGAAAAGTGTCTTTAATCAATCCTGTCCAGTCCACTCCCCCCCGCCCCCAGGTCCCCCGCCCTGCCATACTCCTCCACAGAGACTGTTCATGCTCTGGCCATCTCTGATGCCCATGATCTTAAATCCAGTGGACAGCTGTCCTCGTCGCTTAGTATTTGGCCACTCCTTTCTTGAGATAGCCCTTCTCTCGGATGCCATGAGAGCATGTTGTTGTTTTTCTTCCTGCTGTCTGACCACTCTGCCCCAGTCTCCTTTGCCCGATCCTACTTATCTTCCTCTTGGGATTCGAATTGCCAAGGGCTTTGGCCCAAGTTCACGTCTCATTCTATTTTCACACGTATTCCCATGTCTTTACATATCGCTCGTGTGCTGACAATGTTGATATTTATCTTTAATATATTAAATTTATTTAGCCCAGATAAATACATAATAATGAGTTTGAGCTTCCAAACTTGTATCCAGCTCCCTACTTAGCATATCCCCTTGGTTTTCTCTCTTCAAGGCATCTTGAACTTGACGGGCCCAAACCTAGCTATTGATCTTCTTTCCTTAAATTTGCACCTCCCTTGGTTTTCCTCAAATGAATGAAATGTCACCCCCGCCCCGCCCCCAGCAACTTGCAGCAGAAGCCTGAGAGCCATCCCTGAATCGCCTTGCTACTCCCTCGGCCAGCTAAGTTTTATTGCTTCTCCTTCCCCAGTGTGTCTTGAAATCTGTCTGTTTCTTTCCACTCTTACCACTTAATTCCAAGCCACCCTCACCTCCTCCAACAGCCTCCTGCTAGCCCCCGTTCACTCCTGCCACCCTCTTATCCCTTCTCCGCACAGCGGTTGCAGATCCCGGAGAACGTACCATCCAATCCCGTTTGTGCACAGCGCAGAACCACTCATGGCTCCCCACTGGGCTGCGAGGAAACACCCATTTCCTTGGCGCACAGGCCCTGCACAACGGGCCTAGGCCTGCTTGTCCCGCCTCGTCTTCTGCCACTGTCCCCCTTGCCTGCCGTACTCTAACCACATCATTGTTTCCGTGATGAGCCTCCTGTCTCCGGGCCTTGGACTCTGCAATTTCCTCCCACTTATTATCTGCCTAATGCATACTCATCCTTCAGGTCTCAATGCAAATGTCAGTCCTCAGGGAAACCCGTTCCACTCTCCATTCCCTGACCTAAATCTGGTTCCCTCCTTTCTTTCTTGCATAGAATTCAGCACATTCTTCATCAGATTTAGCACATTTTGGTTTAATAAAATGTTGGCTTGCCACTGGGCTCAGGCCTCAGCCTTCTTCTGTCTATATTTTTACAAATATTAACGTCAGTTGTTCTCAACTGGGTAGGGGCGATTTTGCTTCTCGGGGGACATTTGGGAATGTCTGGAGACTCTTTTCATTGCCACAGCCGGCACTGGGAGTGTGCTACTAGCATCTAGTGTGTAGATGCCAGGGATGCTACTAAAATCCTATAATGCACAGGACAGATCCTACAACAAAGAATTACCCTGCCCCAAAACGTCAGTAGTGGGGAGGCTGGGAAACTGTACCCCAAATGATCTCATAGTGTTTCACGGTTTTAAATGCCGTCTATATGCGGACAACTCCCAAATTCCTCTCTGCATCCCAGACTCATCCCCCTGACTGCCTCCTTGACATCTGACCTGGATGCCTAGCAGCAGCACACCACACTCAGCATGCCTGCTTCCCCCCATTCAACCCTTCTAATTGCTTTGGTTAAAAATATTGGCAGCATTTTTGTCTCTCTTCTCTCCCACTCCACATCCATCAGCAAATCCTTTCAGCAATATCCTCAAAACAGATCCAGCGTGGATCACTTCCCAGAGGTTCACTGCTACCACCTTGCTCTCCTCCACCACCTCTCACCTCAGCACTGATCTCCCTGTTGCTGACCTCCCTCCTCTACATTCTATTCTCAACCCAAAACCCAGAGTGATCTCTTTCATAAAAAAATATGTATATATTTATTGATTCCACAGAGAGAGGAAAGAAGGGAGAGAGAAAGAGAGAGAAACATTGGTGCGAGAGAGAAACATCGATTGGTTGCCTCCTGTACATGCCCGAACCTGCAACCTAGGTATGTACCCTGACCAGGAATCAAACTTGCAACCTTGCAACGATTACAACGGTGTGTGGGATGATGCTCCGACCAACTGAGCCACAGCAGTCTTTTAAAAATACAAATAGATCATATCACTCCTTTGCACAAAACCCTCCAGAAGTTTCCCATCATATGGAAATAAAAGTGAAGTTTTTACACAGTCTGACCTCTCAGTGGCCTCGCTAACTAGAATCCTACTACTCTCCCCTTCATTCACTTTGCTCCAGCAACACCAGCCTCCTTGTTTGTTAAATACACCAAGGATGCCAACGCCTCAGGTCCTTTTCACTGGCTGTCCCTGCTTCCTAGAACATTTTCCCCTCCAGATTCTGCGTGGCTTTTCTTCCTCACTTCCTGTAGGTCTCTGTACAAAAGGCCCCTTCTCAGTGAAGCTTTCCTGACCACTGTATACAAAATAGTAACCCCTCCTGCCTCACACTCCGTAGCCTACGTACCTGTTTTGTTTTTGTCCAGAGGACGTATCTCCACCTGTAGTGCTACATACTGACTTTGTTATCTGTTAATGCCATGTTCCCCCACTCGGAACTTTAAGTGGTGGATATGTCTGTTCATTCTCCATTGTATACTCTATGCGCAACACAGTGCTCAGAACGAGGGGAGACAGATTTGTTCAGTGAATGAATATCACCTCTAGTTCACAGATGAGACACTGGGGCTCAGAGGCTGTAAGTAATTCACCAGTTCCCACCCGTCCCAGACCTGCAGGCTACTTCCCTGCCCTCTCCCAAAGAAAGGGGAAGGTTGTTTAGGAGTGAGGATACAGTAATTTGGAGAGTGGAGTTTATTTTCTGACAAGAAGGGCCCAGGGCCATAGGAGACCCTGAGAGTTTGTGGGGAAAAGATGTTTGAATGAGCAACAGCCTCCTGGGTCCACCTTTCCAGCATCCTGGGCCTAAGAAACCCAAGTGGGAAAGGTACCAGCTTGTGTGGGGAACTGCCAGCTCCCCACGCGCCAGCCTTCGGCTACCTGCGGGCCCTGAGCAACCCCCACCTGCTGGAAGTTAGAGGAGCCACACCCAGCCATGGTCCTGCTGTGGGGAGGATGCCAGCACGGCAGCTCCGGGCCACTGGCTCCAGAGGTCACCTCACAGGTTTCTGACAAAGGGATCCCAGCTGAGAGGAGCACCCTCTCAGCCCCCGCCTCGCCTAGACACCCCATTGCAGCCCAGCCCCTCTGCAGCGGGACCCCTCGCACTCACTCTGCCATTCAGTGATGGCGATCATGCCGCAGGCTGCCAGGGGGGGCCTTCTGGAGTCGAAGCTGGTCAGGGGACGAGTGCAGAGAACTGAGCTTGCGCATGCTAAAGGGAAGCTGGACCTTGGTAAGTTGTGAAAGGGGCCTCTGGTAAATCATTAACTCTCCCTTGAGTACACACACACACACACACACACACACACACATGCACGCACGCACGCACGCACGCGCACACGGCTGCTGGAAGTTGCAGGCTTCCTTCTCCTGGTTCTTCCCAGAGGGCAGAGGCCCTCCACAGCCGGCCGCCTGGAGCATCTTCTATCCCCTCCTGACTCTTCTATCGCACTCCCGCCCCCCATGCCCTGGGGTTAGTTCAGTTGCTTCCTAGTCCTCCACCCAACTTGCGCTGTATATAAAAGAACCGAGACCTAGGAGTACCCAGGCTCTTCACTGGGTTTGATGGAGCGTGCGGGAAGATTCGGAAGCTGTGTTTCTCTTTGGAAAAGTAGGAAATCCATCTTGTAAGTAGTTTGCCTGTTTTGTGCTATACCCATGCTATACCCTAGAGGGCGGCAAGCAACTGAGTAAAACTTGGGGCTGGCTGCCTCATGGGAGTGCAAGGCTGAGTTAAATCTAGGGCAAAAGCCCCCAGAGGAGTTACACACGAACGGCTTTGACTTCCTTTTCCCCAGCTTTGGACTGTGGACTGTGAGGTTGAGTTATGGAAGATAAAAGATGAATTTGGACTTGGGTTGGGGCTGGACTGTTGAGGAAACCTGGTTCTTGTCTACCTACTGGTTGTGTAGACAGGGGTACATCCTTTTCTCCCTCTGCGGGCCTGGAAGGAAGAGGGTAGACAGTCCTAACAGCCTTCCTCCCATCGTAAGAACAGCGGTCCTCAGACCCACTAGACCCAGTCCCTTATAACGTCCCCTCTGGCCTGAAATGAAGTTCATAGATGATGTGACCAACCTACATGCATCATTTTTAAAAATGCAAATAAAGCTAATTATAATAAACAAGAAAAAATAATTTAAAATGAAACATGATGTCTCCCAATATATACATGCTTAGGCAAGACCTACCAGAAGACATAAATGAAATAGACAGATTACTTGCGCTTACATATAATACACTTGAATTTAAGAGATATAGAAGACCAGAGCCATTATGTAATTTTTACAAAAACGAAAGAGAAATCAGGAATAAATATTACTGTAGAATCAAAATTAATGTTAGGTAAGTAGTAACAGGCCAAATGTACTTGCATATAAAAAAAAGAAAGGGGGAAATAAGCTAAATTGAAGTAGGAATAGGAAAGCAAGGCAAATCAGAGATGGCCAAGTGGAGAAAATGAGGAAGCTCAGTGTGAATGCAGAGGAACCGTTTCTTGCGTGTGTGCTGCCCAAGCAGCGCCCCCTGCGACAGCCTGGTGTGGGGCGATGGAGGAGTACCACAGACACCTGAATCTCTGCCTTGAAACGCCATCATGTGTTAAGGTAAAATTCAGTTTGTAGGATCTTAAAAGGCCTTGGAGTGCATATATTTTTAACAGGCAATGGGGAATAAAGGAAGGATTGGAAAGGACAGTGGTGATATAAGTGGTTTAAAGCAATTCAGTTGCATGTGGACCCCTGAGACAGTCTCAGAGAAAGATAAAAAAACACCAGACAACTCCCCCGAACATTTTCTTTTAACCACATGTAATCTTTACAACATAGGTGTTCATCCTGGAGCTGCAAAAACTTTAAAAAATATAAAGGATGGCAGTAGTATGAAATAATTTCTAGAAATATTTATTAAGAAATCCAGTGAAATCCCCTGCATTTCAAGTCTTTGCTTTCATGCTGTTTGAGCCTCTCAGATCTCCTCTGTTACATGTTAACATTCAGTTTCTTACTCAGTCAGACCCTATTGCATTGGAACCATTTCCAACCAAATATATAGGATTGAAATGTTAGGATGTATTGTGTAGACAATGCCTGGAGTATATTATTCAACGATTTTGAGATAATGTCTTTATTTCATTTAAGTTGCTTCTTATAATAACTGTCTTCTAACTTACTGAGTTATTCAGGAAACTTATAAAAAATTTAGGAGCTTATAAAAATGTTTAAGTACTATTATAAATTGCAAGACTTATACTGGTATCAGGTGTAGCCCACTTGCACATTATAAAGCTGTGTAGGACACAGGACCATTAATTATTGTGGAAATCTGTCCTGTGCATTGCAGCCACTAAATGCCAGTAAGAGTTTTGCCCCCTTAGCCCTGAGACAACTTGAGCTCCCCCGAAAATTTCCAAAGTTCCCCCTTGGGGTGGCATCACCCTCATTGAAACCACTGGTAAGTTAAGAGCTTCGACTCTAAAGTCAGAGTACCCTGGGCTTCATCCTAGGCCTGCGAGACCTTAGACCCCCTACTTATCCTTTTGGTGCCTCAGTTCTTTGGATAGTAATAGTACCTTTCACATGGAGATGAAACAAGGATTAGTGAGTGAATTCATGTGATGGGCAGAAAACCAGGTACCTGGGCATAGTAAATGCTTTGTGAGCCATTGTTATTACTCTTCTCATATAGTTATAATTACCAATATTATTCTTATTACTACTCTCCGTATACTATTAAATGCTCTTACACGAAAGACTTCTGCTCTCACCTTAAAATGTGGCTCTAAGCTGCTTCCACGGGTGTACAAAATAGCAGCGTGGAATACCTCTTCCGCCAGCCGTGGAGCCCGCGTGTGAGCTCAGAACTGAACTCTCCTGAACCTGGGCCCTGCAGGCCTGATTCTCAGGTGGCAGCCCTGGGTACTGGAGCTGGGCCCAGAGGGGTTTTCCTCTGCCCACCCTCCCGGGAGGAGCCTCTTCACGTGGGCAACCCCTGGGAGGAGGACGCAGGCCCAGGGAGTCTGCCGCATCCCGTGCCCTGGCCACTGGGGGAAAGGCCTAGGGAAGTGTCCTATGCCCTGGGGCTGGAGGAGTAGAAGTGGACAGGGGAAGGACGCCTCAGAGGGCTAAACAGCAGGAGCCCTGGTGACATCTTTAAGTGAAGGGGGAGACGTTGAGAAACACTCTCCTTCTTCCCTCATTATGGCCCTGAAAGCGGTCAAGGGACTACACGGCATCACCACCACCGCCTCACATTTGTAAGTGAATTCTCACTTTCAGAGTGTTTTTCTTCTATGTTCTCATTTGAATTTCTTGAGAGCCCTGTAATGTGGGATAAAGATCCCCATGTCACAGATGAGGGAACTGAGACTCAAGGATGTCAGTGACTTGTGCAAATCTTCATGGAGCAAGCAAGGAGCCGAGCCAGGACTTGAGCACGATGTAGCCTTCTCTCCAATCCGTCTCAGCGACATGGGCAGCCAGTTCTGCACCGGAGGCTCAGAGACGCGGTGCGGGCCGGCCTGGTGCCCTGCGACAGCAGCGTCTGAAGCGGGGCTGCCTTCCTGACATGCCATTTAAGGATAAATAAATGAGCACACAGTTACAGAGCGCCACTCCTAAAAGGGCATTCTGCTGGTCGCTGCTTTATTTACTTTTCCTGAGTGCCACCCCCTTTTACAGCCCACCCTGTCTCCATCTGAGGGCTGCGCTGGGCCCCAACGTGGAGTAGACAGCGACTGAGACAGCGACCTGTGGGCATGATCCCTGGAGAGGAGCCAGCCTTGTTTGTGGGTGCAGTGACACCCAGTGGTGCTCTGTGCTCTCACATGCCACCTTCCCTCCAAGCCCTGGGCTCTGGCCTGCATGGGGCTGCAGATGCAGGTGCAGCCCGGAACCAGACAAGTTCTGCAATACACCTCCCCAACCCAAAAGGCCTCTGTCTTGAGCCTGCGTCTGGTCCCAACCCTCCCTGATTCACAAAGGACATCAGGGTTTATAGCGCTCTCCAGGATCTTACAAAATCTAAAAAATAGTCACCTCATTTGCACCTGCTCTACTAGTCCTTCAGGGATGAGGACAGGTGTCCGGGATTCAAAGCCAGCCGTTAGAACCAGCTCAAGGCGAAGTCACGAGCTAGAGGAAGCTCGCCTTCCCATCTCCTCTTTCCTGGTTTTCTTCTCTTCCTTGAACTGTTAACAGCCCATCTCTCCCAGACACCCTGCATGAGCCCAGCTGAGGCCTGCCACTGTCCTGGGTTCACATTTACCCTGCTCCCCAGGCCACGGAATTTATAGGGCTTCTTGACTCTTACTGTTCACAGAAAGAATTCAAACTGAGAAGCTTTAGTTTAGTCTTTCACATTGTCAATAACTGATAACCACTGACTGATTACCTGCCAAGAGAAATAAACCAAAGGCATTGAGTCTGGGTGAAAAGAATTTGGGTGGCGTTTCTGACACCCCCTCTGTAAATCATATACCTTCTTGGACCCTAAAGCAGAAATACAGGGCATTGTGTCGTAATCGAGAAAGGCTGAGAATTACTTTTCCTCTCCTACAGTCCTACCCTCAGTCTCAGAGACCAAATCGAGGAGGAGGCTCAAGGGCCGGAAGCATCTGATACTCCCAGTGCACAGGACCGTGGGACAAGCCTTGATCTGGGACCACCTGAGCCAAAAGGGTGACTGCGGTGTTGGCAGCGTGCCCTCATCCCCGGCGCACAGGGAGGTGGCGCTCTTGCGAGAACTCTGGGATTGCTGCCAGGGGAGGCTGTGGAGACGTGCGGCCTGACGCAGAGGCTGGGCTGGTGGTGCATGCGCTTTGAACCCAGCTCTGCTCTTAGGGAAGGCCTGGCCCCGGGACCCCCATAAATTGCCATGAACCCTGAGGCCAGCCACAAGCAGACATGGACACAGAGTGCGAGAGACACACCACTTGTACAAACCATTTTATTTCCTGTGTTGGGTTTATACAAACTTGCAATATACAAATGCAGAGCTCACGGGGGTTCTTTAGTACCTACTGCTAAAAAGAATGCTGCTGAGAACAGACCCAGACACTAGACTATCAGTCAGGATGCCCCCTCCCCGGGGGAGGGGACTCGATGGCTAGAAAGATGCTAAAGGGCTGCTACAGCTCTTCGGTCCCCTGACAGAGATGCCCTCTCTTTATTTAACCTTACCTCTTCTTCTAAGGTCACTTTTATACTAAATAAAGACACTGAGACCATACATTTCCTTGTATGGTTTATTGTCTAATACTAGCAAATCAAATTGGCCCCAATATGTGCATAAATAGATATATGTATATATGTATATTTCATATTTCTCCTTAGTTTTAAGAGCTTCCAGGTTGGGTATGGTGCCTAAAGGGGAAAGGAATTGGTTTCCTCTTGCTATAATCAGCCCTGCCCCAAGAACATGCCTCTCACCAAGGCAGAATGGCAAGTGAGCACAGCTTGCAACCTCAGGAAATCTTTAAAGTGACAGTAGCAATATTTGAATGCAGCCTCTTGGTTATTGATCAGGGAGGTAATATGCTAATTGGGAAGGCTCTAAATTAGTAACCAGGGCTACATCCAGGTGGGTTACTCAGCTCTGGGCCTCCATCCAGGCCCCATTTTTTTATAGGCTGGCAACAGGGGCCAGTGTCAAAAGTTGGGAGGCCAGGCTTCTGATGCGGGCAGGAGCTCTGTACTAGGTTCTAAATCCCCCAATACAGATCTGGACAAAAGATTTCCATCTTTCCCAAATCTGTAAAAGACAAGAGCCGCTTGCCCCTTTCACAGTTAATAAGCAGTGTGGGAGGCTGAGCTGGCTTAGTCTGGCACCCCAGGTGCAGCCGGTTGGAGAAGAGGCCTGGGGTCCGTGGCCAAGGCTGAGATGCGACATCGTCTGCGGATCCTTCCTCAGAGCCCCGAAGCTGACTTTGCAGTCTGGATGCCAGACCGAGGTACCCGGCCCTTAACAACAGGCCCCAGAGGAAACGTGCCAGGGGAAACCAGATACTGTAGACATGACCCAGGCCAGAGAGAGGTCAAGCGAAATGGAGTGTGAGAAGTCCAAGGAACTTGAATATGTCTGTGCTGAAGGACCAGGAATCCCAAACCATTTCCTTTGGTCTTTGCACCATATCCTGGGTCCATAGAGGAACAGGCTGACGTTCTTGGTGCTGTTTGGCACAGGCTGCCACGAGGCTGTCTGCCCTTTCCAGCAGGGTGATTCAGTGCCTGCATAGGTGTACCTTTGTGCACACACTGTAAACATTTTCTTCTGTAGGAGTCACATCCGATAACCACAGAGGGTCATCAAGAGTGGACAGAGTAATCAAATCATTAGACCAAGAGAGCGTCCCGCCCTGGCAAGAAGCTCTCTGGGGGAGCGCTGGGACCAGCCTTGTGCAGACTGGGGGGCGGGCGAGGGAGCTGCTGGGAAGAGGGAAGGGTGGAGGGGTGGTGGCCCTAGAGGCAGCCCCCCCAGTCCCCTCACGTTTTCACCAAATCCATTCAGACATTGCACATTTGAAAATAGATTTGCTTTATAATAAAAGCATAAAATCGATCTGTCTTAAAATAAGTCTCTCTCTCCCCTTCTTTGGATCAAAAGGCATGGGGTACAGCACAACATGCTAGGAATGGTATGGAAAGTAAAAGAAAAAGAAAATGAGCCTGCGTAGGAGTTCTAGGAAAGGATCAGACTTCCAAACAAATATATATATATATATATATATATTACATATATATCTATAATATGTATAATCTTCATAAAACATATATTAAGGCATGTAAAGCAACATAAAGGGCCAGCTTTATGAAATAAGAAGTGATGGAGAGGTGACAGACATATTGACATTAATCCTTGGTATTTTACATGCATTTCTCAAAATACCATTTGAAAAAAAAAAAGATCAATGAAGGGGAAGGCATGGAAGGCCCTGAAATATCTGCATCTTATGGAGAAAGGTATGGGGAAAAAGGAAGAGGGTTACCTAGGAGCCAGCCCCACCTGCCAGTCTTGGGGGCAGAAAGGACAGTCTGGGGTGCTTGAGCTGTGCTAGGGATGAGAAACAGAGCCAAAAACCTGCGAGAAGTGAAGACAAGCGGAATCCCCCCAGTCTGTAATCCCTCAGAAGCGGGAGACTATCCTAAGCACCTAGAACAGTGCCTGGTATGTAAAAGGTGCTTGATAAATATTTGTTCAATGAACTGCCAGCTTTACTTGCATATAAACCAGTAACTGTCCCCGCCCTGAGGAGTGGAGAAGAATCGGTGGAAGATAAAGCAGTTGTTCTTGGGGCCACCGGAGGTCAGGCTGGAGTCTCAGGGCAGCAACTCAAGCAAAGAGAAGGCTTAGGGACAAAGGCTGTTCCATTGCACTCTCTCCCCTCCCCCGTCTCTGGCTACACTCATCTCAAGGCAGGTGAAGCAGAGGTAAAATGAGTTTGCTTCTGTCTCTCCCCCACTGGTCTCCCTCGGTGGGTGGATCCCAAAAGAGCCAAGCTAGAAGGGGATCTTTGGTACAGCCTCAGCCGGCCCTCCTCTGGGATGCCCAGGATGTGGGGCCTAGAATCTGGCCTCCCAGGTAGAGACTGCATTTCCTCTCACTGGGCACACTCTCAGCTGGCCCACGGCACATTCCAGAAAATGTCACAAAAATGGTTAGGAGAGGTCCCGAAGCTGACCACACCCTGCGTAAGACAGGTCCTTCTCTCTGCCCCCGAGGCCAGTAGTGGAGGCAGAAACCAGGCCCAGACCTACAAAGGGCCATGTGTGTCCCAGGCCATCCCGCTGAGGCCCCTCATTCCCAACCCACCCGGCCCCTGCCAAGCACTTCAGCTGAAGGCCGCCGTGTGCTTGCTGGTGGGGCCTCCTGGGGCCACTGCGCTGGCAGGCCGGCCGAGCCTGCGGTGGGAACGGCCGAGCTGACGGCCTGGCGCCGTGCTTGGCACCAAGCTGAGGCTCCCCTCAGGAAACCATTCCCATCTCCCTTTCCATCTCTGCCCTCTCACTTGCGAATGAATCCTGCTGCTTCCTTCCCTCCCTTCCCTAGGACCTCTCCCTTCCCCTCTCCTACCCCTCTCCAACCTCCCCCAGACACTGCACGGACCTACTGCTCTCTTTCCCAGCCTGCACTGTCCCCTCTGGGAGCCAAGGGACCTCTCCCCATCTCTTGGCACCTTGTCTTTGGCTCAAGCAGGGTGGTTTGTCTCCACTGGACTGCAAAGGAGCACCCATAAGCAGAGGTGCGTCAAAGCCCTGGGTACAGCTGGGGCAGTAGGGCAGGGGTGAGGGGGAAGGGGGTGATGGCAGGTACTGCCATTGCTGTCAAGAAGGGCCAGAAGAGGCAGAGTGTTCACCTTCTCTTCACCTCTAGTCCTGACCTAAGGTGGTTCCAGAGCTTCTTTCCCGCCAGGGTGTATTCTCCATCAGGGAACGTTCTTGTAGGGCCATCGCAACCCAGTCAGAGTCAGGCCCAGGCTCCCTGTGACTTGGGCATCAGACAGGCGGCTCCCTACCCCACCGTCGCAAGCCCTGGCTGAGGACCACCATCTGAGTAGTGAGAGGTTCAGGGCCAGGCGTGGTGGGTGTGTGGACACTGAAGTACTACTGCTGTCGGCAGTAACCCTGGCCCCCGGCCTGGCTGCTGGCAGTTTTCCCACGATGCACAGGGGCTGGGGCGGGGTGGGGCCAGGACCGCAGGAGGGCAGAGGAGGGCTTCAGCAGGTGGCTCTGTGGGGCTTCACAGCATTGGCGGCAGCCAGGGCTTGCACTGAAGAAAAGAGAAATCGGGTGAGAAAGGTGCTGTGCAGAGCAGACTTCAGACAACCTTTCCCAGGAGAGAGACGATTCTTGTAAAAGCCTTGGGGGAACCCACCCCACTCCCTCAACCCTGTGAGGGGGGCAGAAATACATAGAAGTGAACATGCTTCTCCACTTGCCTGATACTGAGCAGCCGTGTGCTAGGGGTAAGGACGGTACACAGCCTTTGGCTACAGATCCCAATGTTATTTCAATTTATAGTAAGATCTGGGAGAAACAGCTTCAGGGTGCCCCTGAAGCAGGGCTGCTGTGTAGCCCTCAACAGATGGAAGGCTTGTGGGCTGACAGGAGGTACAGGGGAGGGGTGTCTGAGAAGTCCCTTCCTGATAGCGGACAAGGGAGGCCTCAGCTCTGTTCCCTGTCTGCTTTCCCAGAAGCAAAGCCTGTTGGCGTCGCGGCATCCAAGCAGCAGCCCTGCCAGCCGGCCCTCGTCCAGCACCGCACAGGGACACGGGGGCTCAGGCAGAGGGATGGCGGGGAAACAGCAGCAGGGCACTGGGGCTGGGGGGGAAGCCATGCCGGAATGAGACGGTGCAGATGGCTCAGGGGGGTGAGGGCAGGGCTCCCACTCCCTGGGGTGGATGAAACACAGTAGAAAAGTGCTTACGTCAGAGCTCAGACCTGCATGGTATGGCTGCTGTCGGTGCCCCGTGGGGATTCAGACGATAGGGGGTTGGCTGGTGAAGTCGGGGAAGCAGGGGAGGTGGGAGGGCTTGGGGTGGCACATTGCACTGGAAACAGAAATGAACAGGGAAGTGAATCGGGGTGGGGGGGTGGGGGCAGTGAGCAGGCGAGGCCCTGCTCCAGGTGGGCGGGGAGCAGGGCAGGAGGCAAGCAGAGAGGAGAGCTGAGCCTGGGGACCTGCTCAAGCTGAGGCAGAGCTGGCCTTGTTCCAGTTGCTGTGGGGGAGAGCATGGGACCCCAGGGGAGACCTGGCCGATCCAGGCTCTGCTGAGAGCCAGTGTGACTGCGGCTGTGGATTAGGCCCGGCCTCTCTGGACCTCAGGCTCCCCGCCCTTCGGGACAATGGGAGGTTTGCACACCTCTCCACTATTGTGCAGCTAGAGTGGGGGCTGGCACCTTATCTACGGTGATATTGCTATGATAATGATGAACAGTACAGTAAAATCACACTAAGCCAAATCATCAGGCCCCCATTTATGAGTAGATCAAAGTAAAGTGATCACCATGTTAATCAATTCCGTTAAAATGGAGCCTTCTAAGAGGCTGAAAGTGAGTTCTGCTAACGGTTTGTTTGGCTCAAGGGCTCAGATACGTGTGCCCTGCTGTCACTCAAGACCCCTGGCATCCGCCCAGGTGGGGCACACTTCCATCCACCCTGGACAAATCATTACAAGCCTTAAAGTGGTGACTTTGAATTACTGAGATTTTACTCTGTTATCATTACATTTCCATGTTGAGAACAATGAGACAGAAGCTGTATTGTCAGGGACCAGCTCTACGCAATCCTGGGTCCCTGGGCGCCCTCAGCCCAGCTATGAGGCAGGAGGGGTACGGAGAAGGGTCCTCATTCGGGCTCAGAGAAGAACCAGGCCGCAGCCAGGGCCATGCATGCTTACTCCAGGAGAGGGGTCCTGGCATCGAACTTCCTGCTCACCTCCCTCCCCACCTCGCCCTGGACCTCCCCCCCTTCCCTGCCCTCTGCCGAACAGGAAGGGCCGGTGCACCGCCCATCACATATGTACACACACCCACATGTGTGGCAAAGACACGCAGCTCTCTCATGAGCAGGAAGTCGTGTCTGCCCACACACAATACAGACTTTGTGCATGGGATCCAGCAAAACTGTGTCTTTACTTATTGCACACAACTCAGATATGTGTGTGTTTGTGCACTTCACATGGCCCGGCACACCTATAAATTGACATACAAATACATCACAAGTGCTTTTGAAACACTTTCCTGTGCATGTCTGTGTCATGGCGGTTAGTTATCTGACAACCTCAGCTTCCAAAATAGTCAAAAACACAAATGCTAAATAAGACAGGACTATCTCAAGGAAGCCAGATAGAAGTTACAATGTACATGCAGTGAAGCTCTTATAAAATTCATTCATAGAAGAGCTCCTTGGAGTCCAGTTACCCTTATTTATACATGGTTCTAATAGGTGTTGACTGGCTGTGTTTCTAGCCCATGGGAAAATAAAAGCAAGAATATTTGCAGAGAGAAAGGAATTGAGAGGCCCACTGACATTCATAGGAAGGCTCCACTGAAGACAGAAAATCTTTTGTAAAAAGTAAACATAATAACTTTAAAAGTGTAACAGTTTGGGAGCATTTAACTAGCCACAAACAGATCTGAACAAATTTTAGTCCATAAGGGCATCCCTTCAACAGAGGTATGCAAAATAAAGATATTTATAATGATACTAAAGGAGTCAGAGCAAGCAAGATTGGTTATATTAAAGATAACCTATTTAAGAAGGCAGAAAAGTACTAAATATATATTATTAGAAATACATCCATTGACATAATTAAAATTCATATATGTATCAGGTATGTACTGGACAGATGTAATATAATTAATCAGCCACACACACATTCATGAGACCGTGCTCTCCCTCAAACTGCACAGATATTCTCAGATATTGCAATATATACACCCTACATAACACATACACAAACAAACATACTACAAACAAAGCCGATCACACACGAACACGTGCATTTATAAACACTACCGCCACCCTTGTACTGTACCCCCACATACACATATATCCACGCTCCAGCAGCTTATGAAATACCACCCGTACTCATAAATAATGGATCGCCACACAACACCCATAGACATTTTGCACACATATACACACAGACATACATACTCCTATATTTGTACTCAAATATTCCCTCCGCCATACACCACACACTTGAATACATACAAATACATGTGTGTCTACAAACATCAGCGATACAGGCACTGCACATGACCTCGTGCCATATATACAAACTGAAAACTGCCACGTCTTCCCATATACTACATAACTGAGTCTGCTCACACCCGGTGTTACTACCAAATGCTGCGGCACTCGTTGCTGACCACACCGTCCGTGCCACACACCCACGCTTGGGTACGAACTCTGCAGCCTGTCTGCTGCACGGTCCTCACGACCCATGCCCAGCACCCCCATGCACACAGTCCCCAGCATGCACCTGCGCCCCCCACTGTGTGTGCCCAGGAATGGTCTCCACTGTGCCTGGCAGATCTGCAGCTCTGGGAACCTGGGCCACAGACCATGCACGGTGGGGACGGTGGGGACAGTGGGCCAAGTCTGAGGTCTGGCCCTGCCACAGCCATTTTTTAAATAATTAGGGTTTGGGCAAAAGTCAGGTGACCGTTTGCTTTCAGTGCACAGACCCTGACATGGAAGCTGGTCCACAGGGAAGGGGAATCTGATAGGCCAGGTGGGTTTTATTTTCGTGGAACTTCTGGCTGGGGAATTGTAGTAGACAGAGCCAGGAGCTGGGGCAGGGCAGAGGAAGTATTAAAAACAGTCTTGTACGCGCTAACCCTTGAAACAGGAAGTTCCCTTTTGCCCAGAGCGTGTGGAATTTGATCTTTGCAGGGTTCAAGTTTGTTTTACAGCTAAACTACAGAGACATTTGACAGAGGCCTCCTTGCAGTTGAACTGGTTCTGCTGCCTTTTGGCTCCAGGGTGGGGCCCTCTGAAGCCCATCCTTCTCCTGCTCCCACCCCCCGGCCTGCTGACAGCCTCTTTCTGATACAGCTCCAGGGGCTTCCCTGGCCACCATCTAATGTCCATTATAACCTACGTGCCGATAGGTTCTTCCCTAAAGCTTACTTTAAATCCCCTTCGTTGTAGCCTGAAACCCTCTGGTTTTCTGAAAATATCCATATTTAAAATAGCTAGAAAAAGCACAAAGAGTTCCTATTTCTACATCAGCTATTGCTGCTCAACTGTGCTACCACTGCCACCCAGCACCACCGCTGCTACCGCCGGCTGCCCTTGTCCGAGCACTTACTGAGTGCCTGGCACTGTGCTAGGTGCTTAGCACACACTGTGTCCATTCCTCACACTACCAGACAGGCATTTTGATTTGAATTTTACAGATGAGGAGCTGGAGCCTCAGAGAGCCAGAAGTCGAACCCTCTTAATCACCATCATGAAACACCACCGCCCCCGGAGCTCCTGGCCGCCATCCTTACCTACCTGTGGCCCAGCTCTCAGCCAAGCTGCTGTACCTGTGGCCAGCACCCCGTCTCTCCTTCCTCAACCAAAGTTATCCAACCTGGCATCCTTTCAAGGCGTCCTTCTTGAATAGCCTTCGAAGCCCTCCCTCTCCATCCTCAACACCGTGTTTTGATGGGGAGAAAGTATTTCACCTCCCAATCTTCATGACTTAACCACTGTCTGTCCTCTACCTTTCATGCTCTCGTTCATACAGAATCTCTTGAATTCTTCCCACCTTCATGCATTTCATCCTTGCTAATTACACTCTGATCTACTCCGGGCGATGACGACTCTGGCTGAGTAGATATTAGTCCTGTTGACTTTAACCTCATGGGGTCCATTTGGGACCTGCTGCCCTTTGTAACAGTGTGAAGTCAGTTCCTCAGACCATCATTTCTTAGCAGAAAAGTGGGTTGGGGTCAGTAGCCAAAGGGGCGATCATGTCACTCCTGGCTCCTGGTTACCTGCACTGTCTTCTCTTATTCTTCCTCTCCGCATGGAGCAAGAATGGGAAGTGAAAGATACCCTGGAATACCTGACCCTCGCACCAATCAAGCCAGTTACCACCTTTCTCTGTGCCTTCTCCAACCTGCCCAGGCAGAATGGCTCACGATGCTCCCCTCATGGCCTCGGCCATTCATCCATACAGGGCCGAGGAGAGTCACCACGGCTCTGAGCTCCTGCCCATCAGCGACTCTGGCCCCTGTGCACCCTGAGCCTAGCACAGTGCCTGGTGCTCAACAGATGCTCGTCCTAACCTTGAGGAACATCTGCCTTGCCCTGTTCCTCTCTCTCTCTGACCCCTCATAGCGCCCCCTATGCATGGTCAGCCGTTCTCCCTGGCGGAGCGAGGTCCAGCCCCTCTCACCAGACAGCATGCGGCCCCTGCGGGAGGCCTCGGTCGCCAGGGCACAGGAGATTTCAATCCGCTTCTCCTGCTCCTGCAGCTGGCTCTCTGAGTCCTGGGGCACGTCCACAAGGTCCCCCTCGCCGACAGGCACCACGTTCTGCATACTGAAGAGGCACAGACACACAGACATGGTGGAGGGGGCAGGATGGTCCAGTTGGCTTTTGGGGGGAACCTGTGGACTGAGGTTGGCGGGGCCGGGGGGGCAAGGGCGTTGTAGGCTCCGGTCCCCAACAAGGCTGTCCCCTGGGGTGAGTGGTACCTGGCAAAACACATGTTGGGACCTCTATGCACAATGTTTTAAAACGAATAGAAGGTTCAAGCGAACATTTAGGGCTGCCTTGAAGGGGAGAAGAAGTCAGCAGAGGGCAACCCGTCAGTTTGCCTTGATGAGAGTGTGTGCTTGAGCCCAGTGGTCCTTTGGGCACCCAAGGGCGGCTTCACTGCCCTGAGCCACGGCCTCCATTTGCTCCACCCTGGGGAGGCTCAGGGTCCCCAGTGACATGGGCTGGAGTCAGTGGCACCTGCGCCCCAGGTGTCCTAGGTGCCAGGTGAGCAGAAGAAGTAGAGGTTCACTGAGGCCTGTTACCTGGACTTGGCAATGAGCGTCTTGATCCTCTCCACCTTCTTCTGCTTCTCCTTCAACTCCTCAGGGCTCAGGGGAGTGTCAGGCTCCAGGTCGATGTACCGCTCAGGGATGAGGACTTTGTCTGGGGTGGAGAGCTGTGGAGGGACCAAAGTCATCGCCTTCCTCCCTCCCAGGGCTTCTGCCCCACCCCCGACCCCGTGCCCCTGGACTCTGCTCACCTCCTTATTGATGTCCACGTCATAGTGCTGGGGCTCTAGCTCCATCTTGCGGAGCCGGGCAATCTCCTCCCTGGGCGTCTCGTAGGCCTGCCCGCCAGGCTCCTCTGCCCGCAGGGCCGCCTCTAGGTTGGAGATGTCCACTTCATGGACGCTGCGGTGACGGCGCACCTGGGGGACACGGGCACCTGCACTGCCACTGGCCCTCCAGGAGCCCTAACCGTGCTGTGCCCTGGCTGTCCCCACCCAGCACGCCCGGTCTGGCTGCCACCCCACCACCCCCACTGCAGAGCTACCCTTCCGCGCCGCCTGTCCAAAGCCTGCCCCCCGGTGAGGGACAGGGACGGGGGTAGGAATCCCACCAATGTCTCTCACCAGCACTTGCCACTTCCCGCCCTGCTGGGCCCTTGGTTTACTTCCTGTGACAGATTATTCTGTGCAGTTGATTCAGTGTATCTTTCATTAATCTCTAATCTAATCATTTCAATGATAGTAGTTCCAAGTCACTAACTAGAATGTAAACTGAGGTCAGGATTTATGAGTCATAATTTTTCCATATTTTAGATATGTACTAAAAAAGAAAAATTAGGGAGATGGCTTGGCTCCCCCAGCTTTGCACTTAATGGCTGTGTGGCCTAGGACTTCCTTAATTTCTCGTGACTTTGTTTCCCCATCTCTAAAATAGGGATAATAATTCCTAACCTAGAGTTGTTGGAAGGACTAAATGAGGTAACACGACAAGGATTTGTGAGCTGTACTGTGCCATGCAGTGCTGAGCTACTCAGGTTGTCTTCGGTATACTTGGCCCAACGCTAAGCACGTAGAAAGTGCTCTAGAGAGGCCTGTAAGTGACGGCTACTTCTGGGTGCTAGATATGGTACTATCCTTTGTTAACTGAATTTTATATAATTTGTTTCAACCAAAGCAATCAAGGCATTCTTTTTGTGAATTTATCTTTCTTTAAACACAGAAAAGTAAATAGTTATTGTAATCTCTTTCCAGTGGGCAGAAGCCTCGCTAGTTCTCCTAGGTGCCCAGCTTGGGTCTTCCCTTGTCCCCTCCCTTTCTAAGCCCCAGCCCATGCCTGACGACTGAAGCCCAGGCTGGCCACATCCCGGGAGTGGGCAGCGTTGGCAGATGTCAGGCCTGTGGGTGGCCAGGAGGACTTACTACTTTGTAGGCTGGCCGGGGGCTGGGGTCGGGGGCCGGGCTGGCTGGGAGCTGCAGGCTTCTCCGCTTCTCCTTCATGGAGCCGCTCTGGTGCCGCCGCATGCGGTCAATCTGCTCCTCCACGCTCATTTTGACCTTGCCCTCGCCAGGGAACACAGCGCTCTTGGGGCGCTCCTGCTGCAGTGGGAGACGGGGCTCTGACAGGTGCCACATCCTGCACCTAGCTTTTCCATCTGCCCTAGTCCCTTGAAGTTTTCCTTCTCTTGGAAGCTTGCCTGTAGTAAATTGAGTAGTGGTCCCCAAAAGATATGTCCAAGTCCTGACCCCAATACCCGTGAATGTGACCTTATTAGGAAATAGGGTCTTTGCAGGTGTAATTAAGTTAAGGATCCCAAGATGAGATCATCCTGAAACAGGGTGGACACTGAAACCAATAATGGGCATCCTTATGGGAGACAAGAAGACACATGGAATAGGCGATGTGAAGGTGGAGGCGGAGATTGGAGGGACATGCCCACAAGTCAGCGAATACTGCCAGGGCCGCTGGCAATAACCATGAGCTCGAGGAGAGGCGCGCGGGTTCCCCTCACAGCCTGCAGAAGGCGCCAACCCTGCCACCACCCGGTCCGCAGGCTTCTGGCCTCCACGACTGTGACTGCGAGAGCATGAAAACTTGCGTTGTTTTAAGCTCCCAGGTGTGTGGTGCTTTGCTCATTTCCTGGCAGCCCCAGGGCACTCACACACTGCGCTGGGCAGCACAGGGGACTCTGCCCACCGGTTTTTGCTGCATTTGTATTTCTTACTCGCACAGCATCATAATTTTGTTCATTTTTTTTTTTTTTTTATCTTTGTGGTACACACATCCCTTGTCCCTTGACGGGTTTCCTTGAAGAAGCCCTCCTCCGGTGGGGCTGCTGCTCTCCGCCTGCTGGTTCTGCCTTCCGCCTCCAGCCCCGGGTTTCTTGAACAGTGGTGACAGGCGGGCGGACCCACAGAGGCCCCAGGGCTGCTGGCCTGGCTCAGGCCCACCCGTGCTCCCAGGGCCCGCAGGTGTGCACTCACCTGGGCGGAGAGTCCATTAGTGAGCCTGTTAGCATTCCTCCTCACCACCGTTGACGGGGGCACGTCTTCATCGGTGGGTGACTTCGTCCGTGGGGGCACGATGCCAACTGCAGGGAGACAGAGCAGCCAGCAGGCCTCATGGAGAGAGGAAGGCAGAGAGAGGGGGCAGCGGGGAGGGGGGGGGCGGTGCTGCTTCTCAGAGGGGCTTGGTCTTGCCCCCATGGAGAGGAAAGGCCTGGGCAGGTAAGCGCTCTCTTTGGGAGTGAGTGTGCACCTCCCTGGGCTCCTCCCTGGGCTCCTCCCTGACCCTCAGCCTTACTTCTAGGGGAAGATGGGTCAGGAAGTACCTTTGTTGAGAGCTGCCTGCTTCTCTACCTCCACCTCTTGCCTGGTAGGCACAAGGCTGATGTCTCTCGAGGTGTCCAGGGGTAGTGTCTGGTGGGGCTCTCTTTTGCTTGGCTCATAGCTGGCCTTGGGCTGGGAAGAAAGAATGAGAAGATGTTGGATGCTACAGTGGCTGCCAGGAATTAAGCCTCCAGTGATAGTTCTCTGTTTAGCGATGGCTGGTATACAAACCCTTGAAAACAATAGGGACAGGGACACTCTGTGTATGCCAGCTATGCAAGGAGCAAGGAGGCGTGAGGCTGGCCAAAGCAAGGCCCTCTTGGGCATGAGGGCTCAAGCCTCCAGGAGGACCCCCAACCTGATGGGTCCCCTTAGCAAGCACCAAGAAGTACAGACTTTCTGTGAGCCAGAAAGGAGGGGAGCTACAAGGCCAAGGATCTCAGAGGATTCTGTCAGCCCCCTACCTAAGACTTGAGCAAAAGGACCAGGTGAGCTTTTGTATCAGGATTCTGGGGGCGGGAAAGGGGCACTTAGCTTGTAGCTCACAGAATCATGACACTAGAAAGGACCTCGCACCCCCATCCCTTCCCTTCCAGTGTGCAGTCAAAAAATCTAAGTCTCGGTGAGAAACACAGAGAAAGAAGCCTAGGCCAAAGGTCAGGAACCTCCGCTCGCACCCAGCTAGAGAGCACAGGCAAGTCCTACCACCTTCCTTCATCTGGGAAACAGAGGTGCCGTTACCTGCTCTGCCCACCTCGCTGGGCAGACCCTCAGGGTTATGCACATACCAGTAGCTGAGATGAGAATATGAGTTTACCAACTTTAGGCACAGGACTCAGTCTGCTCACCGTGCAGCCTCTTCCAAGCCTAACTGCACACCCCTCCTGGATCTTCACTAGGGATCCAGGCGATAGAAGGGGCCAGAACAGGGGAGAAAGGGGCCTGCATCCTTACACTGCAGGGGCTGGTAAGACTCAGAGAGGACACCGGCAAGGCGGAGACAGAAAGAGCATGGGAGGACTGGGCCCTGGGGCGACACCAGTGTGTGTGTGTGTGTGGGGTGGTCTCTCGATTCCCATAGGCTGGTCACGCCAGTAGGGAGGGGGTCATACTACCATCCAGAGCCAGGGCCCCCAGCAGCCTGGGCATGGGGTAGAGAAGCGACTCATTTCCCCATTGTCCACAGAAAGCAAAAAGGGGAAAGAGGGCTTGTGTGAGGGTCTCAATCATCCTTTCCTTAGTCCAGAGTCCAACTAGACAGGGCCCAGAAGAAACTCAGGTGCAGGAAAGTTAGTACTGGAATGGGGAAACGATTCAGTGTCCTGCCTTGCCCCCTCGCCTGGCCTTTCGTCCCGTTCCCTCCACCCCCGCCCTCCAGGACCCAAGGGTGCTGGGTACCTGACCCCTGGCTGTCTCGCCACCGCAGTGCCAGGAAGGGGAGTTGGGGTATGGCCAGAAGTGGCTCTCGCTAGGGAGTGGAGGCACGGTGGGAGGAGACTCCAGGGGGACGTAGGCTTTGGGGAGGGGGGGCCGCGGTGGGCCGGGCTCCTGAGGCAGAGAGAAGCCAGAGCATTAGGAGGAGCAAGGGCAGCCACTGTGAGAGCAGGAGAAAAGAGTGTTAGCAGAGGCAGACAACATCACTGAGACCTGGGGGGCCCTGGACCACCAGACTCCCACCTGTGGCCTGGACGGAGCTCCAACTGCGGAGCTAACTCTCTGCCTGGCCTTCCCGGCTCTCCTCCACTGAGCGCCCCCCTGTGCACCCTCCCCCATCGCTCCCCAGTTTTTCTCCAAGCTCTCTCCTCATTGCTTCACCATCACACCGGCCCCGTCCCCCTGTGCCTGGGCTTCCTCCACCATCTCGGGCAACGGCTCGTTCCTCTACCTGTCCCAATGCTCCAGGGCCCAGCTCAAGTTCCACCCTCTCTTTGGAAGATCAGAGCATTTATGGTCTGAACCACGTGGCTCAGTATTGAAACACACATCGCCACATTCCTGAGGCTGGTTGTTTACTGTACATTGGTCTTGGTCCCCGCTGGACGCTGGGCTCCCTGAGGGAAGGCCTTGGGATGCATGGGTGTCTTTCTGAGGGGGTCCTGCCATCCCTCTTCCACAGTAGGGCCTCTGTGAACACTTGCCAACTGACTGACTAGGAGACTGTTCCCCACACCTGCCCTCAGCCCTCTCACCCGTTGGAGCAATCTTGGACTTAAATTCCTATAAAGCGTCCGGTATCTTTGCTGCCTATCCTGGTGCTCTGGAAGAGACTTCCCTGACAAAAAGCTAGAGATGGCAGATGAAGATGAGAGCAGGTAAAGGAGAAATCTAGAGGGAAGGTCACGCTGGAGGTGAGAATGGCTACCTCAGACAGAACACTGAAGCGCTAGGGCTGGAGGCCTCTGGGGAAGAGATGGGCAGAGAATTTGTGTAGTTTCAGGCAGACAAGGCCCTGGTTCCCCCTCCCCCAACTACCTTCTACTCCATTTGTCAGCTTACCTCATTGGACCCAGACTTGGTGGGGGACCCTTGAGAGCCAGACACCAGTGAAAAGGGGCTCAGGGGGCTGGTGAGGCTGGCGGAGCTGAGAGGGCTGGCGGGGCTGTTGGAGCTGTAGGTGGCCGAGGGGCCAAGTCCTCCTGGGGGAAAACAAGAGGAAAAGATGAGGGGAAGAGGTAGGAGGGTGGCCTGGAGGATGGATGGGCTAGGTAGTCAAGGAGGCAGGGGAGGATCCAAGGACCTGAGAGGAGGCATTTAGTGTCTCGGGGCCACCCAGGCTGGCCAAAGGGACTTCCTATAAGGGCTGGCTCGCAGGCTGGGGAAATGACTGCACAGGGGAAGACGATGGAAGAACACTTCCCCTGCACCTTCCAAAGCACCCAAGGCTGAAGGAAGGCACCAAGGTAGAGGCCTCAGACCACCAAGGGGCCTATAGGCTTAGTGGCTAGAGAAGCCCGGGTGCTCTTTGACCTTTTCTGGGGAGGAATCTAGTGTATCGGGGTCAACGGCACCTCTGAGTGGTATATCTGGTCTATTCCGGGGCGAGGGGTAAGGGAGTCCCACCCACTGTCCCAGGGCCCAGGTGAAGGTTCTGGAGCCCTGACGAGGCTCTGACTGGTTCTGAGCCCTGGAGTGTTTCTGGTAAAGCCAGAAGCCCAAGAGGCTGGCAGGGGAGGCGCCCACCTCTGTGCTTGGCCGTATCTGTGCCCCGAGACGGGTTATTCTTCCTGAGCCCCTCCATCACATCCTGGATCCTCCAGATCTCCCTCTGGATCTGCCGGTTGAGCACCTCGTTCTGAAACAGCCACAGAGCGGGTCAAAGGAAGTGGCTGTTCCAAAGAGGAGTGTTCCAGCCCTTCCCCTGCATCCCTTAACCAGGAGTAGACAGGAGCCCTGTGCATGCAAATGCGTGTAAATCCACACACATCCAGCACGTGCACACACACCCCCCCCTGCAGCACATTCATCTTTCTCACGGGCAGCCTCTGCCTCCCCAGCCTCTATAAAACGCCAGAGGAGAGGACCTGTCATCACAGGACAGAGCCCCTTGAGGTAAACCTGAGGACTCGGAGCCAAAAGAGAGTAAAGGCCCGCTGCTCAGAGCCTCTCCGGGGGAGACCAGGGTGGTCTTGGAGTGAAGACCTCTGTAGATGGACATTTTATGGTAGCCTATTTTCCAGGGGTGAGAGATCCCAGTTTCCTGTTTTTCTTTATATCCAAACCACTCTTTTGTAATACCCACGCCCAACATGTACCTAAATACTCATGAATTATATTCAATTACAGCACCCACTCTTTGAAAACTAATAGCCACCACTTATTTAGCTCCACCATAACAGGCACTGTGTTAAGTGCTTTGACTAACCCATTTCAGCTGCACAACTCTATGAAGTGAGGGTGGCAGCTGTCCCTGCTTCAGAGACGAAGGGTCTCAGGTCCAACTGTCTGTTGTGACACCAGTATCTGTACCGGGGTCTTTTTGTTCCAAGAGCCGGTGCTCTTGATCACAATACTCTCTTCCCTCCTGAAATCCACCCACAGACCATGGTGACGTTTGGGTCTTCTGGACCAGCAGGGCTTTCACCTTACCCCACCTCACCAGCTGCAAGGCTGGTGTGGAAAGTTTTGTTGCCAGGAGGGAAACAAGAGGAAAAGAGGGCAAACTAGGGTTCTCCCTGCCCCAGAGAAACACAGCTTGCAAAGCTAGCCAGAGGAGCAGCAGGGGGTGTGTGTGCGGGGTGGAGAAAAGACGGGGGAGGCAAAGGACAAGATGCCCAAGGGAATGTATCCAACCTGCTGCCTCCAGAGTGTTTCTAACTAGTCCCAGAAAGGAAAGCCTCCTCCTATCTTAAAACGCCCGAGCGCAGCACTTCCGTGCTGCCTACTCTTCTGATGGCATGAGAAATTTATGTTTATCTTGTATTTGTATGTCTGTTAAATTCTTCCAGTCATGAAACACCTGACGTCTAACTGAAGCTCCTATGTGTCTGCTTGACTCCATCCCCTGTGATTTTGTGGAAATGAAGAATCCCACATTATTCTCATCCTAAAATTTAGTATCTGCTTTAAGTGGCCCTGAACTTAGCTTATGTCTTAGAACCAATTCCTCATCTTAAATCTGAAATCTCTAAAGCAAGAAAGGAAGCCACTTTGGTCTCTTTTGGCCAAAAGGGCAGGGACCCAAAAGTCTGTGCCAACCCCCACCTGTCCGGGGCCCTCTTCACCTGGTTGCCCAAACTGAGCTGTTCCCAGAGGTCGTCGTGCAGGGCAGAGACCTCCGACTCAAGGCTCTCATACTCCGCGGTGCTGTTGGTCAGGGCCTGTATGGGGTAGGGTTCACTGAGACAGCGGCCAGTGCCTACGTTTCTCCTCACTCTGCTGTTGGGCTTGGGGCCAGCGTGCCTGCCACCTGGCAGGTCTGGGAGCGGGGCACACAGGGCCAGGAAGAAGGTGCACAGGGTTGAGACATTCTAATGACAGCCAAATACCAGCCTTAGGAGAGGTGCCACAGCCCACCCTGCTGCAAACTGAAGTCAAGAGGGAATGGCATTCCTTCCAGATATGTGGATAGGCCGCAGTGGGAAACATCGCTCCTTCACCCTCTTGCCTTCTGAGGCTGGGCAAGTGAAAGTGGGAGACAAAAGGAAAGGAGGCGGAGGGAAGGGGTTTGTTCTCTGAAGGTTCGCTCTCCATTCTGGGCCATGCTTTCCTAGGGCTTTGGCTGCTGTCCCTAGAGGTATTATCCAGGCCATCAGTCCTGGAGGGCCTCCCCTGTGCCCACCAGGACATGACCAGGACAGCAGCATTGCGGCCGGTGGCCTGGGCCTCCAGGAGAGAAGACAGAGGTGGGCAGCAAAGGTATTAGAGCAGCCAAGGAAGCAAGTGGCCCCGATTCCATGCCATCCTGAACAAATCCTGATGCAGTTATAGTAGGTAGGAAATTCACCAGTGTTCACGGAGACTATGGAACAAGCAGGCTGGTGTACTGGCTACCTCTTTGCAAGGCAGTGTCAAAGCCTTTGTTTTTTCTGTCCCTCCTGGGGAAGCACCCTGCTCTGGCCCTCCAAGGAGAACTGGATTAGGGGAGCACTCCCTGGCAGGGAGGCTCTCCTGGCAGATGCAGACCCTGCAGTCGGGTTACCGTTGTGGCCTGAGACAGCTCCACCCGGATGTGGATGAGCTGGTTCTGCAGCGACTCCTTCTTGTGCAGCAGCTTCTCTGGGTAAGCAGGCTGGCTTCCGAACATCTCCAGCTCCTGGTGGGTTCCCATCAAGGCACTTTCCAGGCTCTCCTGGAGAAAGGCAGGGTGAACAGCTAGGAGCAGCCCTGAGATCTCCTCTGTGGGACTGTTAGCAGCACAGGCCTGAGCCCTAGGGGTTCAGCCAGTCAGAGTAGTGGAGGTTGTCCTCACGCTGCCTGGGGTTCCCTGGGAGAGCTTCAGGCCTGATTAAGCGCAGGACAGAAGCTCAAAGAAGGCAGAGCTCTGTCCGTTTAGTCAGGGTGGAGATAGCAGCCCATGCCTTCTCCATGCCAGTCCCCCACCTTCCCCCTCAAAGACTGCCCCAGGCTCTCACCTTCTCAGCACGGAGCTGCTGCACCAGCCGGTCCTGCTCCCTCACCACCTTGTTCTGCTCACACAACTTGCCCAGCAACTTCTGGGGTCCCGAAGGAGTGGGGCACAGGGAGGGAGAGAGAAGGGGGTGAAGGACACAGTTTGATGGGGACCTGAGACTTGGGTTGGCAGGGCCCGGCCTCTGGATACCGCCTCCTTTCCCCTGCTGAGAAACCCTAGCCCTTCACCTTGACTTTGAAAACTCCTGGGAACAGGAAGGTGGTCTTTACCTTGGCAGACTCCCAAGTACCCACTGGAAAGGAGGCATGTTTATTCTCTGAGGAAGTGAGTCAGCTTGAGAGAAGAGAGGTTGAAAGCCAGACATTAAGCTCCTGTCCTCCTGTCCTCCTAGGGCTTCCAATTCGTGAGAGTTGGGGAGATAATGTGGCCTGGCCTCCCAGGCCTCCCAGGTGGGCATGGACTCAGGGGTAGGCAGGGTGGGTGTTTGAACCACAGTCTCAGAAAACCAGTGAACAGCGGAAACTGGTTCCGGTCCCACATGACCTGTCCTCCCCTCCTCCCCAGCCCCCACCCCCTGCCCAGAGTCTCAGGATGGCTGACGGTCCCTCAGAGATCTGGTCCTTGCCTAGATGGAACCTCTCCTGGGCCTGCTGGGCAGGTTTGCTGCCCAGGCAAGGCCAGTGGTGATGGGGAGGGGGCTGGTCAGGCCAAACTTCTCTTGGGGAAAGACTCGTGCTTTCCTCCGCGCACACCTTTATCCATGCCAGTCTTCAAACACCCTGGGGCTCCTTTCAACTGAACCAGATCTTGCCCTCCAGGCCGATAGTTCAAGGTGAGCTCACATGCTACCTGTTTTGTCCCTGGCTTTACCAGCCCACAAGTTCTCACCACCTCACCCTCCCTCCCGCAGAACCTACTGTCGGCTGCTCAGCATATGCACCATAGGCTGCCACCTAGTGTCTGCCGCTACCCTGAAGCTCCCCGAGGGCCGGGGCGTGGCTTTGTTCTTCTTTCCAGTTATCTAGGAACTAGACTGATCTGACAAAACCTGTGTTCCTGCAATAAGCAGATCGCACTGGTGGAGATAAGGGTCCTAGAGCTCAATGAGGACACATACAGCGCAGGAGGCAGGGATGAGTGGGAAGAGTAAGAAAAGGGGGATGAGGACAGACAGGCAGAATGTTGTTTGCAGTGAGAAAGGACGTGGATCAAACATATGAAGAGCCGTGAGAAGGAGAGGCACAGGTGCAGGAGAAGCCCCTGGAGGAGCTCGAGAACAAGGACAGCAGCGGGAGGGGCTGGAGTGCACAGAGGGAGCAGGAGAGCTGCTCTTACATCTGTATCTTGCTCGTTTAACTTGTAGGTGTGGAGGCTGTCCCGGAACACTTCTGGGTACGGAGGGACCTGCAGGAACATGAGGCGGTTACTGCAGCAGGGGACAGAAGGGCTTGTGGAGGCGGGAAAGTGACAATCTTTGCTGCGTTTTTGCCAGAGACTGCAGTGCATCACCTCTGGAAACTTCCATCTGGGGCCCTGAGCTGAGATGATTCTCTGTGCCCTGGCTGAGAAGCCTGGGATGGCCCAATCTCAGCCCCACCCCAGTTGTCCTGGGCTGACCATGGAGACAGAGATGCCGCTCAGCTCCTGCTGTGTATCTCCCCTCCCCTAAGCTCTAGGATCTCCTGCTGAGAGGGACTCCAAGGGTGCCGAGCTCCGGATGGCCTGTTGGCAATGACCATGAGAACAACGGTGAACCTTCAGCTGCCTTTGAGAGTGAGACATGGGAGAATGGAATGAGCATTACAAATGCTTGAGAACTATTGACCTAGCAGATTGAATGCCAGTCACAAGGATTGTGCCTAAACCAGAATTGCTACAAATTCAGAAGTGTCTCTGGGTCCAGTACATGCTCCCTACCATTGATGACACATCCAGTAGCCACAGCACACTCTTCACACCTTTGGCATGGGATGGTTACATATCACACCCCCATGCCCTTAACCCCAATAATGTCTGTGGAGAAGATACCAAATATAAAATCGAAGGACTAGACAATGAAAAAGCAGATTTGTGATCCCTGGCAGGCATGAGATGTTGATGCTGGCTATTTTGATGGTTTGGGAAATGAGCCTTGGGTTTGTCCATGAACACGAAGAATGGAGGAAACATGGTAGAATTAAAGGAGGGAGATCAGACAGTGCCTGGGAGATGAGTCTGGCAAATGGGTGGGTTGGGCGGAGCAAGCCCCATCCCAGACGGGCTGACTCGACCATGCACAAGCAGCTGAAATGGTGTTGACAGGGACCATGCTGCCAGGCAGAGGTCTTACTTGCATGAAGAGCTGGGCCCTGGGGGAGGAGCTCTCCACCATGCGGTTCACCATACTGATGAGAGTCTCACTCTCACTCATCTGCAGCAGAGGAAGGAACGGACGATTCAAACTCAAGCTCACAGAGAGATATCTTCCCCACACCCTCCTGTGCTTGCTTTCCAGGAAACAGAAAAGGGCAACTCCTCTAGGGGACTCCAGCAACCTCTACTTGGCCTTATCCGTCGCTCTCCCTTTGTGAACTCCATCTCAGGACCAGCACTGAAGCTGCCCTTGAGGAAAGGCCACAGAAGGAAGCTGGGAGGCCACAGTGCCCTAGCGCACAGCTCTGAAGAGGCCCCAGCCCAAGGACACTTCCCCGGAGTGCCTGAGTATCATGGGTCTCATCCACATTGGCCAAGGTCGTCATCTCCTTGCCCCAGCTCTCATTTCTCACACTGCTTTGGTCAAAGACCACACGGGCAGTTGCAAAGGCCAGTCTCCCAAAATTTGAACTGAATGGAACAACAGAAAAAGAACAGCTGGGACCTGCTCTTTGGATGGGCCTTCCCAAACATACAGGCACAGGTCTCTCTCCCCAATCCCTGCCCACCTCTTGGCTCTAGAGTAGAAAGGATTGCTAAACACGGTTTCCAGAGCTGGGCTGGTAGCATCCATGCCGATCTTGGATGACGCTAGGGAGCAAATAAGGAGGCCAAAACAAGCAAGCCATGTTAAAGGGACACCAGATATTGGAACACTGCTCTCCCGACACATTATCTTATGTTTCAAGGATCATTAGGAACATGGGGGGAAAGACTTTGCCAAATAAAAAAGAAATAGAAAGAAAGGTGAGGGAGGGAGGAAGGGAGGGAGGGAAAGAGGGTGGAAGGGAGGGAGGGAAGGAGATGGGGGGGACAAGCCAACCAAATCAACCAGAAGTGCCATCATTTCCCCCACTGATTCCAGTGTGACAGTATCCAAAAGTGAACATATTAGGGAGTATCCTTGGCTATGTCCCTTTAACTCAATTCATCTGCAGGAATAGGTAGCAGAAAGGGCGGTGCAAGAAAAGCTTTTTGGGAAGGAGAAGTGAGAAAGGGAAAGGATAGGGCCACCTTAGGGCAGGTCTTCTGGGTTCAGGTTCAGGAGGCCCCACATTTTTTTGCCCTTGTCTTTCAAATCTTTATTGGACCCACATGTGTTTTCCTTGTCCCATTCAGACAGCAGTTCAAGTGCAGCCTTGGTTCCATACGCTGTGGATGGCAAGGGGTACGCATCCACTCCCATTTGCAGGGTCTATGGCCTTTTACAAGGCTTTCTTTCCTAGGATCTGATTTTTCTACCTTGTTAGCCTAGTTGGAAATTTTTCTATGGCATAAAATGTCATTTAAAAGGCTTTCCAAAGAGCAGTTATGAGGTTGAGTCTTTGTGAAATAGCTAAAAGTTGACATCAACCACATTTTCTGTAAGGATTGGAACTCAAATTGACCCCTATCTTCTTGGCACCTGTGTGTGTGTGAGATTGTGTTTACCGTGTTATGGGTACCTGTGTGTGTGTGCTTCCGTCTGCTGCCTGTGTGTCATATTTGTGTCCTGTGTGTGGTGTATGCGTGTGTGGAAAACAAGGCAGATCTACCAACATATCAGGCTTTGAGAGGGCCGGGGAGGCCCAGATTCTTTCTGAACGTCCAATGATCTCCTTCTTTCCCCAACCAGTGGATCTAAAGTGATAAAGGAGAGAAGCAGTTTCTCTTCTTTCCCTCTTCTCTCCCTGGCCTGCTCCTGGCCCCTGGCGTGGCTTTGGGGATCTTTTGGATCATGTGGGTCCTGTCTCTAGGAGAATGCCTGTGTCCCATCTTCGGTCTCTCCAAAATGTTAGAAAGATCTTGTGAGAAAGCACCTGGCCTAGTGCCTTATACATAGTAAGGGTGCTTGGTTAATATTTTAAATTGAGTTTTAGAAGAAAGAAAAAGAACAATAGAATGAACATAGCGGCAATTACCACTCGTTGTCAATGCCTGACAAAATGCTTTCATATACATTCTTGCTTGAGTTTTCCAACAAGTGTGTGAGGTAGAGAGGGCAGGTTCCACATGTCCATTTTATAATTGAGAAAACAAAGGCCCAGAGAAGCTAAGTGATATTTTCAAGATATATTAAAAAAAAAATTCCTTTTAAATGGCAGAGTTGGAACAAAACTGCAGCGTCTAATTCTATGTTCTGGACTCTTATCATATAAAACTGCCTTTTAAGAATATCTAGAATATCATGCCTCGGCTGGTGTGGCTCAGTAGATTGAGCACCAGCTTGAGAACCAAAGGGTCACTAGTTCAATTCCCAGTCAGGGCACATGCCTGGGTTGTGGGCCAGGTCCCCAGTAGGGGGCACATGAGAGGCAGCCACACATTGATGTTTCTCTTTTCTCTTTCTCCCTCCTTTCCCCTCTGTCTAAAAATAAATAAATAAAATCTTTTAAAAATATATCTAGAATATCCATTTATCTATTTATCTAGGAGGAGATCCTCTAAGAGGTTATTTCTGAAGCCCCCAGTCTAAGGGCCCCACCCATCTGAGGAGACAGAAGCCCAAGGAAAAAGCACTGCTGTCTGAATTGAGTAATTAATTGGCCAGCCAGGCATTGTGGATGGGCCACAGGGAGGAAGGCCTGCCCAAAGGCCAGGGGCACAGAGCCCCGCTCCTCACCCCTCCCTGGCACAGCACAGCCTGCTCCTGTGGGGGGTCAGTGTGTCCAGGCCTGCTCGGGATTGGCATCCTAGTCTGGACGCCCACATGCACTGGACAGCACATGCTGCTTTCTGGAATTAAACTGCAATATCCTGAGGGCTGGGTGCCTCCCCTGTTGATTAAAATACAGGTATCAATGCTTCCAGTGCCCAAAGTCATCACAAGGATGAACTCACTAAGACACGGAGACCCAGTGAGATGCCGGTCACCTGGCCTGAGACTAGTACCACCAAAAGTCACAGCCAAATCCTCTGATGTCACATTTATGGCGCGTTCTACAAGTTTGAGAGCACAAAATCATCCTGATGAGGTTTGACTCCAGTTTCTTCATACATTAGATGTTTCCTCAGCTGTACACTAGGTCAAAAACTCGGAATCATATTCCAAGTTCTGCCATGCACTGGTTGTGTGCCCTTAGCATGTTTTCTAACCTTTCTGTGCTTTCATTTTACTAGTTATAAAATGGGGATAATTGAAGTACCCACCTGGCAGGGTGCTTATAAAGATTAAATGGGTTAGACTCTGTAAAGTGCTTAGAGTAGCATGGAGCATGGAGGAAGCACCCGATTATGGTAGCTGCTGCCATTGCTATAATTATTACTATCATTATTGTTTTTACGACCGCCCCAGGCTGCTCCCATAGGAGTGTGTGCATAGCCAAGTCCCCTGTGATTTGTAGCACAGATCTGAACATAAGAGTATGTGCTCAGATAAATGCCCAGTATGCTGACCCCTGGCCTCACTGGGTCAACTCACTGAGTGCTGCAACCCCCTTTATAGCCCCACGAAGCCCAGGAGCCAATGGGTAGAGCCATGGAGCCGGGAGCCCAGGCAGCCAATCACCTCCCTCCAGTGAGAACAATCACTGCCTCTTCAGGACACTCGTCTGTGGAACTGGGCTGAAACTAAGTCCTCGGTCCACCACTGTGAATTCTCAGGGAAACATAAGCCACGTAGACAAAAGAACTGCGTGGAGGAACTAACAAATATACTGAATCAACATAGTTTTTAAATCATCCTAGGACAGGTCTGCAGTCCTCAATTTACAAATTGTGGAGTTTAACAAGGACCTGTGGCGTATGGTAGGATAATTTCCCAGATTAGTACTGAATAAAATCCTAGAATTGTAGGCCTAAGCAAGGAGCCCCCTCTCATCTCTGCTATTCTCTCCAGCAAAGATGCAAATTCCTGCCTGCCTCCTGGGGGCATTTCCATCCAGGCTGAACAAACAAGAGGTGGCATTAATTATTCATGTGGTCATTTATATTCTTTTCTTCCCCATGAAACTCCCAGCTGCCCTAAAGAGCTTTGAAGAGAAGGGGTGTGAAGGCGCAAACCAAAATATAAGCCACTTTGTTGTGTCCTGGTTGTGCCAACAAAGGTTGTCAAATGGAAGGAAGATGAGGGGTGGAAAGGAGGTAGGAAGCGAGGAGACAGGACAGGAGCAGGGGGTGGCGAGGGAGCACCAGCTCTGCCTACCTGCTGATCCAAATACTCTAGGTTTCTTTGCAACTGAAGGTCTAAAAGTTCATCCTACCCGGAGCCCGAGGCCCAACGGCAACACAAACAAACAGGAACACGACAAAACAAAACAATAAAAAGGAAGCAAAGCAGTTAAGAGTTAGCTGGGCAAGGATGAGCGCCTCTGCCCTGGAGGAGTTCTGGGGAAGGGTGGGTGGGGGCGAGGATGTTGGACCACCCACAGCAGCCTCCAGAGACACACTTGGACCCCCCACTTCATGGCTCCCTGGTCGGTCTGGCCCTCCCCCGACAAGGGAAGTGCTGCTGAAGCAACCTGGTCAGCACCTTCAGCAGATGTTTCTGTGTTTTCTGGGAAAATCTGTTGTTTCTGGATGGGTGCGTTTACCATGTGTCAAGGCTGGAGTGTGGGCACTGGCAGAGGAGAATGAGAGAGGGGACAGGGGAGCAGCCCGCCCTGCTGGCCACGGCCTCCTGCAGCTGGCCTCTGGGTGCTGTGCAGGGCGAGGGCACAGTGCCAGGCCTTCGGGACAAGGGTTCTGCCAATGGGTTCCAGTGGGTCTACCCAGCTCCTCAAGTGGAGCATCTGCTTCTAGTTCTCCAGGTGGGGACAAAAATTCTCAAGAGAACATTTTCCAGGAAGAGACATGTAGAGAGGGAGAAGAAAAGCGGAAACACAATATGGAAAATGTTTTTTTCCTCAGTCCTGTCTCCTTCCCCAACGTGGCATTCCAGGCAAGGACAAACTGGGAGCAAGTGCACTTAGCGGGGGAGGGCTGAAGAGCACGCCTGTTGTTGGCAGCTCTAGCCTGACTTTTGTCCCAGCCCTCAATCTTAGGCCTGCCCAGGCCCCTCCGCATGCTGCGGGGTTGTTCTGAGGAGCAGGGGTCAGGACGTTACATGCTTTTGGCTCTTGTCCTTGCTTCTCTGCCCTGTGTCACAGAGAAGGGGGAGCTGGCACCTCACTCTGTTGGGGTTAGTCCTGGCCGGGAGGAAGGAGGTATCCAGAGGCTACTAAAAACCGGATGGGCCACGTATTGGGCACAGAGGCCCTCCCTGGGAGCAGAGGTCCTGAGGGGCTGTGGTGGGGGAGGAGAGGACGTACCATCTTATCGTGGACCGTGGGGGGTGGTGGGTAGTTGTAGGGGTACAGTCCTGCAGGGACTGGCCGCCTGTCTCCCAGGTAATCATACTGGAAGAGAAAGGGAATTGGAGAGGTGAGGGGGTCCGGCTGAGACATAGACTTCCCCACCAACAGAAGAAGTTCAAGGCTAGGGATATGTGTAAACTGTCCCAGAGCAGATTCCAGGCTGAAATGGACAACATTTATCCAGTGCAATTTCCTAGCAGTGATCTGTTCAGGTCCTCAAGGTTTAGAAAGACAGAATCCTTTCTCTCCTCTTACATGGAATTAGGGTTCTTGGCATAATCGGGCAATGGGCACAGCAAGGAATGTTCCTACGTAGGGGGCAAAGCGAGGCCCCCAGGGCCGCTCGCCTGGGGACGGAACCACATGGCCAGAGTCTCCCTGGACAGCACTGCTGGCTCTGCTGACACACAGCCCAGTTCCCTTGTGTCCCAGGTGCTCCCGCACCTCCACCTCCTCTCAGCAGATGGTCTTGGGCTTCTGCTGGACCTCAGGGGATGAGGAAGGAGGGGACCTCAAGGGGTGAAGACGACGGTGGCTCACCTTGGGAGAGCTGATGGATCGCCTCATCACGTAGGCAGTGGGATCAGCATAGATGTCCTCACTGCGAGCTGGTACCCGCTCAAAACGGGCACTGGGTGAGCGGACCGGGGAGTAAATGCGGGTGCGGCCGTAGGAGCCCTGGCTGGGCGAGCGGGGCACCGAGTGGGACCGCAAGGACAGGCGGCGTAGGGAGCCAGAGGCGGCATCCAGCTCATCGTAATAGACGGGCTGCCGGGAGGGGCTGGGGATCCAGACGGTGCCATCCTGCCGTCCGTAGCCGGCAGGCTCCTTCCATCCACACCCGTTGCGGAAGGAGTGGCGCTTGTCCTCCAGGGCCCAGGACGAGCTGATCCGATCATAGGCAGGCATGGAGCAGATGCTGTCTGGCCGCACCCCTGGTGGGTAGTACTGGTAATCGTCAGGGTACTGGGAGGAGTAGGGGCTGTAATACTCAGGGGCCCTGCGGGACATAGGGTAGAACCTAGAGGGGCTGAGAGAGAGGACAGTGTAAGGAAGTGGACAGCGTGGGCATGTCCCTACCCATCCGCTGGTGCCCCGGCCCCACCTTGGAATCCTCCAGCCTAGAGTGGCCTTGTGAGCACACAGAACACCAGCTTTGTTTCCAGAGGTTCAGAGAAGACCCATCCTCAGAGCTCCTCCCTCAACCAGTTCCCAGAGGCCCAAAAGTCCACCCGTCAGGGCTTCCATCTTTGTCTCTTTAAAATGAAATACCCCTGGGGAGAAACTTTAAGCCTTATTAGCCATCTCTATCTCAACATGAACCAATTTATCAGATCCTGCCCAGAGAGGCAAACAGAAGAAAGCGAGTGTACCAGACACCTGGAGGAAAGGGGCAGAGGAGGGACAAAGGGTGGCTTCCCTGATTTTATGGGACTCGTGCCAAGAGAGGCGCTGCCCCTACGCCAGGCAGGCCAGAGGCCCCGGGTGCAGCGAGCAGCCTTCCTGAGGCTGTTACCGGCAGTTCCGAGCTGCCTCGACCCCAGGGCCCAGTAAGTATCTTCAGATGTCTGAAAGCCAGTCGCGGGATAAAGGAGGAAATTGGTATAGAGGGCAGAACTAGGATCAGTGAGTGGCAACATTTTCTTTCTTTTCTCTTTTTAAAAACTGACTATAAACATTGGCTTTCAAACAATCAAAGCCATTCAAAAATGGAGTTGGCTTGGCTGTTGATCAGTGAGTCTCCTGTTGCTAGAAATACCGGAACAGAGGATGTTGTCTGTAAGAGGGTCGGAAGCTCAGGCAGACAGATGTCTGACTGAAACAACTGTAAGGCCCCTCCCTACGATCGCCTGCCTGTTTCCTGGGCCACCCAACACCCTTGTGGAGAGACACTGGGCGCTCTGTCCCTTCCTCTGAAAGAAGTAGACAGAGAGCAAAAGCAGAGGCAGAGGGAGCCACAGGGGCGGGAAAGGATTTGGGCAAGCTGGGAGCCCTGGGGTTTTCTTGGTTTCCCAACACAGCCTGGCTTCCAGAAGGTTTCCAACAGGGGATGCCTCTCACGTTATATTCCCAGCCCAGCCTTTGTCGTGACGACATCCCAGCTTTACCCCAGGCCTCACCTCCGAAGGTCTTCAGGTGGGGGCACCCCCCGACGCAGGTTCACCCACTGCTGAAGCTGGTTCATGGAGCTCTTGCGCTGGGCAATCTTGTCGGGGTTGGCATGCTGGGAGAAGCTTGGCCGGTGTCCCCCACTCCCTGAGTCCTGAGGAGGGAAAGCTGTGCTCCCCGGGCGACTTGGGGAGCTGTACTGCCAGCCGTTGGGCTGGGTGGGCTGCTCCCTGCCCCCTGGGACCCGTGGGCCCTCAGGGTAAGGGCTGCCTGGCTCTGAGGCTGGTTCCGGTCCAGCTTGGATGCCGTTGACTTTCACCAGAGGCTCGCCCTGGACTTCGGGCCTCTCAGGCCTCCTCTCTGCCTTCTCACAGCCTCGGCCATCCCCCTCCCCTCGAGTCTTGGCCTCTGGCTCAGGCTTGGGGAGGCTGTTGTGAGGTGGCTGCTGGTGGTGTTTGCTGGGTGGGATGTTTTCTGAATCTGGCTTCTCGTGGCTGCAGGGTAGCAAGGGAGATGCTGTGAGTGATTCCAGCCCAGCACGGAGCTGGGTGGGGGGGTGGTACACTGGGAGGGAGAAAAGGAGTGGAGAAGGATGGGCAGAAAGGTAGCATGGGGACAGAATTTAATGCATTACAGTTCTATTCCCCAATTATTATGAAAAGTCGTCCGAGTCTGCATGTGCACGACACATTCATTGTGCCCTCCAGGTCTCCTCCCGTGGGTCACTCCCTTCAGCTGACCTGCCATTAGCCTAGTCCTCAAGCTGTGGCCAAGACTGGCTTTGCCCAGCCTTGGTCTCCTGTGTATGCTGTCCCTGATACAGCCCCCAACCTTGGCATATGCTATCCTGAGGTTTCATAACACCAACCGCCCTTGATGTCCCAGCTACAGATGCTTGTCACAGGTCAGCCCTCTCTCCTGTGGAAAGTTCCTCAACTTCCATGAGCCCCGGGTTCCTTGATGGCAAGGATGGGCATAAGGATGCCTCCCTCCCCGGGACTGCTGTGGGGTCAGACACGGCAGGCACCAGGGCAGAGCCTGTTGCCTCAAACTTCACAGACATGGAAACACGCTAGTTCCTTTCTCAAAAACAAGCTTCTCCCAGGACGGACTTTTTGTTACAATATAAGCTCTGTGAGGCAGGAGCATGTCAGAATTTTGCTCCCTTGTTTTCCTAGCACCCGATATAGTACCTTACACATGTCCATTTAGAGTAAATATTTATAAAATGAATGAGTGGACTTCTGGAAGTATGCCCCTTGGGTGAAACAAAAGTGAAATCTCATGACAGTGTTCTCCCTATAGTTTCTCAAATTCAACATCTTCAAGCGTCCTTGCTGAGATCTTCCTTGGTAAACATTTCTAAGACATGTGACTAGACTTGGGGTCTCCACTCTAACACTTCCTTCCAGATCCCTGTTGACGTCTAACTCCATACTCCACACCCAGTTCCAGTAGAGACAGGCACCAGGGCTGTGGGTGAGGAAGGTATGAGCATAGCCCTGGACTGTGTGTTCATGACGTATCAAGCATTTTACACACTGTTTAGTCCTCACGACAACCTATGAGGTAGGATTATAATTGTCTTTGAGGAAAGGAAGCTCAGGTTCACGAAGGTTTAAGTAACTTACACTGAGGTCGCACCGGGGCAAGTGACCAAGTTGGGATTTAAACCCAAGTCCACCTACCTCCAAAGGCTGTGTGCTTAACATGCGCCCCCAAGACAAACTGAGCAAATGACCCCGGCCCTTGGCTTCTGCCTGGCCCCCATGGAAAATGGCTTCTCTCTTGGTCTCCGCCAGCTCAGAGAGAAGAGGGAGAGCGGCCAGGGGAAGTGACTACCAGCTCTGAAATCACTTAGCCAGGCCCGTCCTCAGCGGTTCACGCTGGCACACTGGGTTCAGCGATGGCACAGAGCACGGCCCTTCCTGGCTCTTCCTCTGTCTCTAGCACCCCCCGCGCCCAGGCCCAGACTCTGGCACTCACTTGTGACGCACAGCTTGGGGCACCGACTTCTGGGCTGGGGGGATCTGCACTCGGGCTGCCTCCCCCATGGCCTGAATCCAGGCCTCCTGCTCCTCAGGGCTCTCAGCACTGAAGAAGTAGGTGCGAACCCCAGCATGCTCGGCCTGTGGGGAGAGGCAGTGCGTGGAACTGGCCCCGGTCTCGTCCACCCAGCACACAGTCACCTGTAGGGAGAAGACACCCATACCCACAGAACAGGTGGTCAGGCAGGCCGCTCCCTTGACCTGCAGCTTTTCCCACATGGAGCTCAGGAGCAAGGTGAGGAGGGTGGCCCACAGGTACACCAAGTGCTCCAGCTGGCGCCCGGGTCCCTGCCTTGGCCAGCTCTCTGGACACCACTAGGCAGCCCAGGTAAGCTTACCTGCCCCACCTGAGGTGATTATAAGCAGGAGGGACAATTACCACACCCACTCTCCCATCAAATTCTATCTTTGGTTTGAAGGGCAATTACCCAATGTCTGGGAGACATGTCCCCCGGCACAGGCCAATATTGGCCTCTGAGAAGCTAGCACGGTCTCTTCCGCGCAAAGACAGCCAGGCCTCCCTCTCGAGGCATGCAAGGGGCATGCACAGACAGTCAGAGCACACTACCTAGTTGGCGGCCGCGAGCAGGCGCGGCAGGCGGGAACCCAGAAGAGAGCTCCTGTCCAGAGGAGGGGTCCTCACGCAGTCAGAAGGAGGAGAAGCAGAGAACAGGTCAACCAAACACCAGAGGGAGAGACAGAAGATGACGTGGCAGGAATGTCAAGGAGAGGGCGAAAGTGGGGAACTATTCAAACTATCCCTTTCTACTCAGTGCTACTATTGGGACGACAGCACCCCGCAATGCCCAATTCAGCCCACCAGGAGGGGGAGTGAGAGCTTGCACCAAGGGAGTTTGGGCTGGTGGTGGAGAGAAGTCAGGGAATCCCAGTGCGAATGCTAGCTCTGCTCCTGCCAGCTCTGGCCTTAATGCATGCATCTGCTGAATGCGGAGGGGTCTACCGGGTGAAACTCAAGATTCTTAGGCCACGAGCAGAAGATGCTCCAGAACTAGATTCTTACTGGGACCTCAGCATAACACCTAGGTGAGACCTTCAATTTCCCAGGAAAAGCATGTTTATCCCACCCAGCATGGGAGATCCAAATATCTGAGGGTAAAGACCCTCAGATGGGAACCTCGTTTTAGCCTCTGACCCTTTGGGTGCTAAATCCTGGGCCCCTGGGAGGTGAAAGAAGACAGCGCTTCTCTGACCCAGCCCCAGGGCTCTCCTAAGCAGCAAGACTAAATCAACACCTCCAAAGGCGCTCCTGGCAGGACCTTCGCTCCACTGCAGCCACTGTCCCCTGCACAGGATTTCTCTCTGATGGGAGCCCTTTCCCACTGAGGGTATGTCCTCCTTCTCTAGGGGCAGAGGCGGGCCTCTTTCCTCTGGACCTTACTAGTCCCCACACGCCAGCAGGGGGCCCAGATTGGAGGTGCCGAGGAAAAGCCAGCGAAGCTGTAAGGAGCTGCCTGGGGGTTGAAACTGCACAGGGATGTGGAGCCCAGGGGCCCAGGCAAGCCCTCTGTGGTGGAGCACACAGTGCTATGGGGGCTATGGTGGAGGAGAGACACGGCTGGGACTCTGGGTATGTGCTGGGGCTGGTAGGAGTGGGCAGCAAATGAGCTCATTTGCTAGCCATTTCCTGAGCCTTCTGGGAGTGCAGAGCCCTGCTCTGGGCACCAGTCACAAGGAAAGTGAAGACATGCTCTTTGCACCTGAAGAACTCATGGTTAAGCTGGAGGACACAACATGCTCATGGGCGAACAGGAGGGGGCAGAGGCCTGGGAACAACTGCTGGCAACAGGGGGAAGGCAGAGGGCCTGGGGAAGACAGGGCCACTGAAGGGGAGCCAGGAGGGAACACCAGCCTGGAACCAGGAAAGCGGAGCAGAGAACTGGGGGAGGTGCCCTGGTGGGGTGAAGTCCACCGAGCCCCCACAGGGCTGGGTTAGGAAGAGGTTAAGGCATTCAGCAGTAGGCTGGGCGGGAACAGTCCAGGCTCATTATCAGTCATCCAAGAGTTTCACTTGGTGGCCACAGCAGGACAAGCCTCCCATCTGTCTCAGCAACCCTCCCTTCCCTGGGGAAGGGCCTCTGAATAGCCACAATTGGAACCCTTTGTGGCCACTGAGCATAGCTCTCAGAGTTGGCTTAAAGAGGCAATGAACGCCTTGGGGACAGGGAAGGAGGAGAGGGGCTGCCGGGCACAGCAGTGAGGCCTGGGGTGTATGGTGGGTGTGTGTCAGTCACCGGATGTTGACCTGATCCTGCTGAGCTGCGTGCTGGAGTGCGCATCGGTCTGGAAGGGAGGGTGAGACAGGCTGCCTGCTTGTGTGGGTGTGTGCATGCGTCTGTGTATAGCAGGATTTTGTTGTTGGTTAAACAACGTGTTCCTATTTCCCCAGCTAGAACTGGGCTCCCTGGAGCTGGAGTTTCATTAATTGTTCATTCTGTTCACACCTCTGGCAGACAGGACCCGGGGGGCTGGAAACTAATTATGTGCCAAAGAGGTCCCTCCTTGTTCCCAGAGCAGCACCTGTGTACACTGCCCACCTCTTCTCTGTGGCCAGGTGACTAGGGTCTGAAGGACAGAAAGGGGCAGAGTCTCTGAGCACCGTGGGGGGACCTGCAGGCCCTACCATCTGACCCACTGCTTTAGGTTTTCAGAGCCTTGGACAGCGATTCTCAACTGGCAGAGGGGGCGCTTTATGCTAAGAAAATGCATGGGCAACACCATAATTTCATATTTGGAAAATGAAAGGGAACCTAGGGTCTTTACATCATAAATTACAAAAAGAGCCTGGGATTTTTATCATTTTTAATAGGTCATGAATTTTTAAATGTAAAAATGCGCTGCCCAGGAGGAGCCAGCTGCGGCCTTTGATGGTGGCTCCCCGGGGCTCCGGGGCGCACGCGCACCAGGCACGTGAGGCCGTCTTCCTGCGCGCTCGTTCTCTCGAAATGTCTATGTCAGGTTTGCTTCTCTGAACTGTAATGAAACTCAACTCCTAATTTTCTCTAAAGGTTGAAATTTGAGGAAGTTTGACTGTGGATCTAATTTCCTGGGCCCAGGGTGGGGAGGAAGACTTTCCATAAAGAATCCCAGCCCCCTCCAGCCTATAGCTCTGCCTGTGCTTCAAGGGGTCTCCCAGTGCCAGGCCACTGGGCAGAGGATCCACAGGCTCAGGGAACCACTGGGCTACATTTATCCCAACAGGGCTGATACACTCCTCCGTCCTCCCCTAGGAAAAACTGTGGCACCATTGAAGCACGTTTCTGCTGTCCCACTCTAGGGAGAATCACCCACCCAACCCCCTAGAAAAGAGGAAGGGGTCCCAGAACAGCCTCACCTTCGCCTTCGGACAGCCTGCACTGAGTGCAGGGGCCGCTGCCCACTCCTTCCCTCCACTACCACTTCAGACTCCTTTGGGAGGTGGCCCTAGATCCTTCTCCATCCCCCTATGGTCTAGAAGAACAGGTCTCCCTCCCCCAACTGACCTGGGAGAGGAAGGTCAACTGACCTTAAAGGTGTGTTTTCGGCTGATGTTGTCTGAGGGCTGCACGGCAGCCACCCGGAAGCTTAGGAGGGGGATGCTGCCCAGGATGCTCTCCTCCTTCTCATCTGTCAGGAAGCAGAGGCACAGGTGAGATGTGTGTGCACGTGCAGGGGGAGAGGAGAGAGGAGCATGTCAGCCCTATTGTGATAAATTGGCAATAAATGTTTGTTGCTCATTTACTATTAGGCACTCGGGGCTACCAAACACAACCTCTGCACAATCCCAAGAGGCACGCTCCCTGGAGTTGGGGTGCGTGGCAGCTCTGAAGACATCCTCTAGACATGTCTAGAGATGAATGAGAGACAAGCAGTCCCACCCTCAGGAAGCTGACGTTCTAGTACACGAGTAAGCTAATCAGTTAGAGCTACTGTTTTGGAGTGTTCGTTCTATGTCAGACACTGTTCTGTATAAAATGCCTTCATGGATTGAACACTCTCAACAATCCTGTAACTAAGTTCTGTTCTTACCCTCATTTTATAGGTAAGGAGGCTGAGACACAGAGAGGGTAAGTAATTTGTCCAAGGTTACTTAAGAAGAAAGCGGTGGACTGGTCTTTGAACCCCAGGAGGCTGACTCCCAAGCTATCATCCTTAACTACTCCACTATGCGTTGCGCCTGTCCAACACAAGACAGTTCCTACAGCCACACATGTACCAGGGTAATGGGATGGGGCGTGGCAGAGTGGGCAGTCTCCTCTTTGGTTCTGGCCCCTCTGGATAACTGTTTCTAAGGTTCTCTCAGGCACCCTGTGCTTGCTTTGTCCTCTCCTGATGTAGACGCCCCCCCCCTTCTTGTCCCCGTGTCTTAGGGAAGATCTGCCTCTGCATGGCCTCCTGGCCCTCAGGTCCCTGGATCAGGCTAACAATCAGGCTGTTACATAATTCATCCTGGATCTCCAGAGGAGCCTGATGGATTAGCTAGTCGGGCTCCCAGCTGTCAGCAGGAGACCCGAAAGGGCAGGGGTGTTCTGTGGGACAGGTTGGGGGCAACTATGAGGCCATGGCAAGACCCTCTCGGCTTGCTCAGGAGAGCTCTTTATTCCCCGGGCTGGAGACCCTGTAAAACTCTCAGATAGGGTTTATAAACTCTACTAGTTCTCTTTTTACCTTTTTTCTCTTACTCATCACTTGCACAAGATACTTGGCCCAACATCCAGCTTCCAGTGCCGGCCTCAGTGAGGTACCCAGAGAGGGGCTAAGCCTAAGGAGCAGGAGGGACAAGGGCTGGAGACCCAGGGCTTCTTCAGGAAAGCAGAGGCCATCAGCTCCTGGAGGAGACAGGCTTCTGCCTGGTACTGTCCAGGCCTGTGTTTAGGGGTCTCTCCTGAGAGCACCTGTCAGTGGACAGTGGCCCCACAGCAGTGCCCTTGAAGCGCACAGGGTTAAGGGTCGCCCTTTTGTCAGACCAGTGTCTCTCCTCTGAAGAGAGCCTGGCTCTCCCCCAACTTTGTTCACACTCTGGCTCCAGTGCAGCCTCCTGTCCCAGAGACCCAGGCTGGGCAGACTCTTCTCCCCTAGTCTTGGGGTTTCCTCTGTGACTGGACCCTGCACATTAAGCCCCTTCCTGATCTCTCGCTGCAGAGTTCAGGGGGCAGCAACTCAGGACACAGGAACAGCAGCGTTGTGGGGGTGGGGGTGTCACGGGTTCGGAACAACCTTTGTTTGCCAAAGTTAATGATTCACTGAATTACTCCAGGAAGGCCCAGAGAAGCCTGGGCTCTGCCATTCCCGGGGCATGGAGGGCACAGAGGAAAAGGGAACAGTCTCTCCTGCTGCCAAGTCATCTCACCCTGCTCTACCCAGTGCCCCGCGTCTGTGTGGTGGGACTGCCGCTGCCATCACCCTCCCTCGTCCCCTCTGTACCCCCTTGACACAATTTTGCTGTGGACATTTAAAAAATAACTTCCTAGAAATTGCTGCACCAATGTCATCAGATCTTTGCCCTCCTTTTTTGGAGAGAATTGGGAGTGAAGATTAGTTGTGCAAGGAGGGCAGAAGCTGGGGATATACATTTATTCCACATCGATGGAGCACCTACCATACGCCGTGCACTGTTGTAGGTGCTGTGGATACAGTAGTGAACAAAATGGACAAAAATTGCTGCCTTCATGGATTGGATCCTCCTGACCCCATGGGACAGGAGGAAGATCAGCATACGAACTCCAGTTAGCAGGTGACCTGCTAATAGAGACTAGGGACCTTCCTCTCTCTCTTTTTCTCCCCCTCGAACCCTTCCCCTGGGCTTCACCATCTGTCACAGGGCCATCCAGGTCACCCCTATATCTCCAATCAGGGCCTGGAACTCTGCCTGACACCCAGTAGGCACTTGGTCAATATTGAATGTGAGTGAATGTGTGCGCAAGTGAGCTTTGTTTGTATCCCTCAGGGACACCCCGCTGGTGCTGGAGACTGCATGCGAGAGATCTGCCCTTCTCCAAAGTCCATCCAAAGCAAAACCCGGTAACTGGTAGAATGAGAGAGCGCCGTGGGCACTCTTGCCCCCGCTGGCCTAGGGGCAAGCTTACCTTTATAGTAGAAGAGGCAGCGATCCACCAGGACGAACCAGCGCTTGTTCCACTGCTTGACGCCAGAGCTGGCCTGGAGGCACATGGAGAGAGACAGAGAGGAGGGGCTGTGAGCTGGGCGTGGGGGAGAGCAGGATGTGATAGGAGGAAACCCGCACCAAGTATGAGGACATCCTGCCTCTGGTTGCAGCTCAGCCACCAACAAGTTGCAGCAACCCCTTTCAGTCCCCAGATGCAGGAACCTGACATTGGATTACTGCCTGTGACCTTCAGTTCTGTCATCCTTGGCCTCAGTGCCTTTCCCTATAGGGAATGACAAAAAGGGCAAGAGATGAGCCAGAATGAGAGAGCAGAGAGCAGGCATGGACAGTGACAAGGCTGATGGGGAGATTGCTGGACCCTAGACTTAGAGGAGACACCGCTACCACCCCTCTTTCCATAGCAAGAGGTTGAGCCAGTAGGTTGCTCCAATTGGGTAGTTTTCCTAGCATATTTCAAAATCATTGTATCTGCCCATCAGGAGATCTAGCTGGATTCCTAAACATGACACTAATTGTTCTGTGTGATTTTGGGAAGATACTTGACTTCTCTGAGCTTTCATAGAATTAGAAGATGCATTCACAGAGATATACCAAATGAGGAATGGGAGAACATATCACAATAGACATGGACTGTGGTAACCACAGAGGACTTACAGTGCTATATGGGGAAAGCACTGGGTGTGGCGGCAGAATGGCAGAGGGGGCCTCACCTGTTTGAAGAGCCAGCCTGCCTTGGTGACAGGTGCATTGGGGTTTCGCTTCATGGAGTGTGAGCGTTTGCCAAAGGCAATGGCCTTGCGGGATGTCCGGTTGGCCTAGGGAAGCAGAGAGAGAAGCCGGCCTGACTTTTCCCTCTCCTGTTTTCTGTTCCACTGGCCTGGGGAGCGGCTGTACCTCCCTGGGGTCACCCCAAGGTGCCCTCATGCTGACAGGCCCACGTGTGAGTCTTGGATCTGTTAGTAACTCAAGAGCACAGCCTGTTAAGTCTTTGGCTCTTCCTCTGATTTCTAAAATAGGGTTAAAAAATAACCCCCCCTATCTGAGAGCAGTTAGGGTTTGGGGAGTTTTCTTGAGGAGAAAATAAGATTTTTCACTTCACTCCTGGCCTACCCTTCCGCTGCCGCCCTCACTCCTGCACCCCGCCGCCCCCCCCCCCCGCCCCAGCGTCCTATTCACCCTCCACCACCCAACCTGCCGCGGGCTGGGAGCACACACGCGTGGTCCACTCCTCACTGCCATGGGGCCCTGCCATTCCTCCACATTCTGGCAGCAAACCCTCTTCCCTGAATCACCACTGATCTTCCACCATTTAGTCCTTCTCATCTTCTAGAGCATTCTTTCAGCGTCAGTCATCCTCTTCATGCATTTTTGCCATCCCTGGGGCACTGTTCTTAAAGACAACCCATCTGATGCCGTAACCTTATACAACCTTGATGTCCTCAACTCAAAATCCTCCCCTGCCACCTAGAACAGACGGCCGTGGCCACACCGGAGACCAGGGGAGCACCTGAGCCCCTTATCGCAAGCAGCTTCAATTCTAACATTCCATTTTCTGATCACAATACTCCATTCGTTGGGCTTTCTCACTCTGCTGGGACCCCCCGCCCCTCAATTCTTCCCTTTCTTTCCATCAGCCACTTCGTGATTTTAGTTATTTCCCTACAAAGCCCAGGCCCCGTGGTGAAGTAGATCAGCTGTACTCTCTTTCTGCTGCCTTTCTGCTCAATCTTCTCTAAAACTCAAAATCCCAGATTAGTCAAAATATCTACCCTTCCTCCACTCAGCCAGATTATGGTGTTGCTGCTGAAAAATTACACACAACACAGATGAGGCCACTGCAGATCCGCGGTCCCTAATCTCAGCTGGGCTCAGCCCCAGATGGCCTCTCCATCCCGTACCCCGACTGTTCTCCCAGGCCCTGCAAGTTCCCTCTCTGCCTTCCCCACAAGGGACCTGGATCGTCTTCTGCAGAGAAAATTGAGATTATCTGACATGCACTTCCTTAATTTCACACCCATTTCCCCAGAAAATTACTGCCCTTACCTATCTTTGTCTCTTTCCCTCCAATGTCAAAAAAAAAGCAGCATTCTCATCCTTTCTAAGGATAACATGCTTAACCCACCCTCTCCTCTGAGACTTTGTTCCATTAATCATAATCTCCTCTCAATTCTGTCTTCAACTTTTCCTTCTCCACTGGCTTCTTCTCCTCTGCAAACATGCTCAGGTATCTACGTCTTAAAACATCTCTCTGCCTCTCTCTGTCTTGTCTGTCTCCCCCTCGCCCCTCATACCCCTGAATATCCCCTTAACCCTGCATCTGCTGTCAACAGATGGAGCAGGCGTAACACCTTCCCTCCCTTCCCTCTTTCTCTTTCTCTTCAGGAACAGGTTCCTGGGAAGAGTTCTGACTTCTCTCCTCCCATTCACTCTGAACCCTCCTCCACCTCTTGTCTGAAATGGCTCTTGCAATGTCATGGAAGCAAGACTACGCGGTCCCTGAATACTCTAAAGCATTGGACAATATCAGCCCTACTGCCCTTCCTGAAACTCTTCTTTTGGTTTCTGTGATGCTATTCTTCCTTTCCAATACCTCCATCTGTGGCCACTCCTCCTCTGTTCCACTCTGAGTGTTGGTGAACCTTAATTGAACTTTTATCCTTTTATTCTAATTTTTATCATTATACATTGTCCCCATATAATCTCATCTACCTGCAATATGCTGAAAATCCCCTAATCTATATCTAAGACCTCTCTCCTAGCCCCAGTTCATTTGGCAACTGGTTGTCCAAACATGATTTAGAAAAGTACAAAACCAAACTCATCCTCTTTCTAATGAAACCTGTTCTTCGATGTTTCTCTTCTCGGTGAATTGTACAATCCTCCCAGTCACCGAAACCAGAGCTCCAAACTGTCTCACACTGTCCCCTCCATTCCTTTATACAACCACTTATGCAGGACTAAGGAGTCTATCTTCCTAAAAGTTCTCAAATTCCACTTCTTGCTGCCCAATCTTTCCCATGAACTAAGGTTATCTTTCTAAAACACAACATAATCCTGTCACTCTCTTAAAACTTCTCCCTACCGCTTATCACTATGAAGTGAATTCAAATTCCTCAGCACGGCACACAAGGGCAGGTCTATAAGACCCGGCAGGACCTGTAACCCACCTTCTGCCACGCTAGCAGACAGGCCCTGCCCAGTCACGCCTAACTCCTGCGCTCCGCTCCTGCGCCCAAGGCCTTGGCTTGCTTGCTCTTCCACAGGGGGACGGGGCGCCATCTCTCTTATCTATAAATCCCAACTCATTCTTTGAAGCCTAGTGCAGACCCCCCACTCCACAAACCTCCCTAATCCCCCAGAGTAGTTAGCTGCTCCCTCCTCTCCATCCATTCTTACAGTCTAAAAGTTATTGTCTAAAACTGTTAGCTTTCTGTTTCCCTCACTAGGCTGGGAGCTCTTTACAAGAAGGAACTTTTATCTCTTTACTGCCAGAGCCTAGCAAGGGATCTGGCTATAGGAAGCATTACTAAATACTCGTAGAAGGAAAAAAAGAAGAAATTGGGCTTTTATTATAAAGTACCCCCAAAACTAGGAAATAAAATTGTGTCACTAGTAAAATCCCACATACATGGCTCAGACTGGCCATCTGAAGAAGTCTAAGAATAGGCAAGTCCCCAACTTTTCCCTTTCTTCAGTCGCTCATTGTCATAGCTTCACCTCCTCTGGGCAGCCTAGAGGCTGCTCCCCATAGTCCCCCACTCCAGCTGAACTCCTGCTAACCCCTCAATACTCCAGCCTCCTTGTCTTTCTGCCACCGCTCCCCAGCAACCCCAGCCTTAGGTCAATTCAACCACCTGCCTTCCCCGCTTCCATAGCTGGACTATGAGCATTGCTGAAGGAAATCCACACACCTGGGGACTGGTAAAGATTGAGTCCATGACCTCAGATGACTTTCTGACACTATAGAGCAATATTTCATATGTCTCTTGCTGACCAGTGTTCCTGTTCCCCAAACCTTCGGCATATTCTCAGACCCCCCAATGCCTCTCCACCCCCCAACTCCTCTCAGCAGTGAGCCTTACCGCCAACTTCCCAGCAAAAGTTGAGAACATCAGGTGGGGATGCCATTAATTTCCTAGAACCACTCCGTGCCCTCCTGCACCTCAAACGCAGTCTTTTTTTTTTTTTTTTTTTTTTTTTAAATGCAGTCTCAGGAAGAACATCTCTTCCCTGTCCTGGCTTACAAACACCTCTGCATCTAACTCTGGCCTCCACAGAAATGTGACTCATTAACTATCCCCTTTCTCCTGAACCTACCCACTGGGTCATTCCACTCCTGCTTCTAACATCTTGAAACAAAACAAAATGAACAAAGAAAACCTACCTCCATCTTGCATATCTTTCTAGCTTCCACTCTCTGCCCCTCATTTCCTTAAATAGCCCAGTTTCTTTAAAAGTATTTTTTTTTAAAATATTTCTAACATTTTAGAAAAGTATGGAATAAATCACCACTACATATTAGTTTTTTTCCCCCCTAATAAAACATAGCAAATAGATCTGAAACTCCCCTTGAGTTCCTCCACAACCTCTTTGCCTTTCCTTCCTCCCTAGAGGCAACCACTGACCTAAAATTAGTCTGCCTGTCTGTGGCTATGTGCTTGCACTGTATATTTATCTATAAAAATATAGTATTGCTTTTCGTGTACATTTTACATAAATATATTTTATGTAACAATGTTTTTGCATAATATATTATTATAATATAAAAATAATATAATTTTCATATTCTACAACTTGCTTTTCACTCAATATTATGTTTTTGAGTTTATCCTTGTTAGCACATAGTGTTCTAGTCCATTTAATTTTTGGAGAGTATGCCATTGTGTGACTAGACCACCACTGATTGTCTGGTTTCTTAGAAGAACAGTTTCTTCTCTTCAGTGTTTCTTCATCTGCCCTTCCACCTCCTCTTCCGCCTGCTCTGGCTTGCCCTCTATCCTCATCCTACCACAGGACTGCCCTCGTCAGATGTCCAGTTACCGCAATGCCGTCAAACTCTCTGGACGTTCTCATCTACGTGAGACCTTATCACACAGACCTCTCGGCAACATCCTTCTGCGGATTACTTCTTCCTGAGACCCTCTTCCTTCTTCCTCCCTTTCTGAGCTCTCAACTGTCATGCACTTCATAAGCTATTCTTCTTCTGCTGTCCCCTAGATCAGTGGTTCTCAATGAGGGTGGAACAACCTTGTTTCATAGGGGACATCTGACCATGTCTGGAGACACTTGATTGTCACAGGGTGGGTACTATGGGCATCTAGTCGGTAGAGGTCAAGGATGCTGTTCAAAGTCCTATAATGAGTAATTCCACAATGCAAAGAATTATCCAACACAAAATGCCAATAGTGCCGACATTGAGAACCCCTGGTCAGGCTGTTGATTTTCTGTGAGGTTCTAGTCTGAGCACCTCCCCTGCCCTTCGGAGCCTACAGACCCAGCTGGACGGGCTAACACGTTTCCTAGGATCCCTGACTGACAGCCTGCCTTGGAGGCTGGACTCACCCGGACGCTGGGCCGCTCTGGAGGGACCTCAGACACCATGTTGTGGTTGGATACGTCACTGTTGGTGGTAGTCGGGCGTTTCCCACCTGCTTTATTGGACATGTCCAACGCTGATCTGATTTCAGGTTGACCAGAAGAGAAGAAAGAGACTATTCAGCACCAAGAAACAGTGGAAACTACCATCCCTTTCCCACCCTGCCACCCACTGTTCCAGCATCAGCACACAATTAAATCCCCTAAGTGCTCTCGGGAGGTCACCTCACTACCCCCTCCACCCTTCTGAGATGATATGCCAGTAGTCCTGGAATGTTTCCCTTTTCCTGTAGATTTATTTTAAAAACCTCAACCATAGGACCCTGGAACTCCTTTTCCTTTTAATTTAAAAGACACAATAGCCCAGCGCACCATGAAAGTCATTTAATTATCCTTTTTCTTCCTTTCACTGAGCCAAGATCCAGAGTGAGTGGAATCAGCATTCAGCTCTCATGATTGTATCAGATTCCCTCCCTATTCCCCTCAGAGGCCCTGGGGTGATATCCAGACTCAGACCTGTCTCACTGCTGTAGCTCCACCAATGACAAGTGCCCACCTGAGCGCTGTTAGATTTTGGGAAAAGTGGATGAGGCTGTTAAGCCAGAGAGCCTCAGGGGCTTCCAGCCGTCAGAGCTGAAGGGAGTGACCCTAAATCCCTCCGCTCTCCTTCCCCATCCCCTTCCCCTTCCCGACTGCGAAGTGGCAGTGGGGTGGCGTGGTTAAGTATGGAGAGGTCAGGCAGTAAGTAGAGCAAACCTACATTTTCAAGTCAAATTTTTTGTTTTCCTCTGGGACCCGGCCGGTCACTGGGTGTAAAAATGTGTTCCGTCTTTCATTGTGGCTGCAGAGGCAAAAAGGAGAGAGAATTTGTGGTCAAGATGAAGAAAGCACGGACACAAGCAAAGGGTGGACAGGCCCTGGGAGTGACAGGGCCAGTGACCACATAGGAGCTCGCTCCTCTGTCCTCTGGTGAGATCATGGGAAGCAAGATGGAAGGTGGGGCTGAGAGGAAGCAGCTGCAGTCAGGTGGAGGGTGGAAAAGACACCTTTCACTAGCCAGTGTTAACTGCTTCCTAGAGATCCCCGAGGCTGGAAATAAGCCCCATGTAACCCTCTCAGTGGTCATCCTGGGCAGGCAGGTGGATGGGCAGGGAGGGATCCCAACAGTCAAGGTTCCACAGCGGCGGTTCTCTCCTAGGGACAACGCCTGCCAGTGCTCCACGTAAAAACTGCTCGCTCAGTTCTGCTGAAAGGCTTCTCCCATGACCTTGAACTCTTTCCTCTCCTGCTCTATGTTCCATCTTCTTAAATGAAAAAAAGAGATCCAGAAACTCCATTCCTGAGCTTGGGCCCACGCTCCAAGTCCAGGGTCTCCCAGTCTAAGGGCTACTGGCTATGGCTGAGACCTCAGGAGTGACCAGGCAGTGAGGTTAAGTGCTGGCTCAACAGTCAGATCTAATTAAAGGATGGGTGGCCCAGAAGTGGGGTGTTGTGAGGACAGCCTGCAGGAAGCGGGTGGGCATGGACTGGGGGCGGGGTCTGTGCAGAGGCAGATGGGGAGCAATATGGCGCAGGCTCCTCTGGGAAGTCCTGCTGGGGCTCTTCTGGCTGACTGAATGTCAGGCTCGTTCCCTGGTGGCTCTTTGGGGGGTTGGTGGAGGGGCAGAAGAGAGAGCATGGAGGGGCTGGCACCGTGGGTCTAAGCCACAGATGGCAGCCGTGTGAGCTGGGTTCTGCACACAGGGGACCACCTTGACAAGGAAGTTGTAGGAGATCCAAGCATGCAGCCAGTGAGGGGCTAGAAGAGTGTTAAGGTCCCCTTCACCCACCCCTCTTGAGAGAGACACTGTGAGAACCCCGAGCAGGCTCAGTCCAACCCTGGCAGAACAGGCGGAGGTGGTGCTGAGGCCGTGGGTCCCCACACCAGCCGGCCACATTAGCGCTCCCATGGCAGAGGGCCAGCTGGTCAGCTCACGCCAGAGGAAGGAGATTCTAGCCTGGTCCCTTCAGCTGCTCAAGAGAAAAAATAACCTTGTGGAGACCCCCTTTCAATAGCCCTGGGCCCATTCCAGCCCTTGAACGCTCTGTTGAAGCTAAAGATAATATCAAAAGGTATTTTTTCAGCTTCCAACCAGTCATGTTTAGATGGAATTCAAAGACATGTAGTAAATAGCAGCACAGTGGGCGGTGGCTACAGCCTAGGGGAGGTCTGGGTTTTGCAGCCTGGGCTTGCTGACCAGGACCCTAGCTCTGGCCCTGTCCACCTGGCCTGGGTTCTAACATGGCTACACTGATCACCTGCTCCCCGCTTCTCAAACTCTCTTTCTCCCTCCCTGCCAGGTGCAACCAGGATGATCTCTTTAACCTAACTGTGGGAGAGCTTTGCAAGGAAGGGTAGCTGTTTATTCACCCTCACCCCTGGCTCTGCTCTAACTAGGGGTCCAGGGCCTGGCAATCTGTGACAACTAAGGTCCTCAAGGTACCAAGGTCTCTGCTTTATCCCAGTGGCAGGGAGCACCTGTCCCCCAGCTCAGCCCCTTCCACTCTATGTGTTCCTGTGCTAACTCTGCCGAGACCTTCCCTGCAGGCCCTAGTAAACATGCACACACGCACACACGCACACACGCACACACGCACACAGAGAAGCAGCAGTCTGCTGTCGGCTGGCACACTTCTTTCAGGACACAGCGAATTTCTCCCTGCCCCAGACTCTTCTACCCAGCAACCCCTACAGATGACGTCCTCTCCCTGTCCCAGCACTACCAATTTCAAAATAGCTTCCCCTTGACAAGTACTGCAATGCAGCAGCCACTGACCTAACTGCTCTCCCTCCTCCAGGTCAGGTCAGGCAGACCCCACACTCTGAAGCCCCAGATCCAAGGAGCTGTCAACTCCACAAGCTCACTTTGCTTGGCTCCTGTCCACTGAAGACATCCCTACCTGACCCGGCGATCAGCCCGAAATTTCAACATCTTTTTGGCAGCTCTGTCCTCGTTCGGCAGCCTCAGAGGACCCACCAGCCACCCTGCTCCTACCATGCCTCTGAGCAGTAAGTCCTTCGGTCCCGCGCAGGGCCCTGGCCGAGCTCCAGACACTGCTCGTCCCCCCTCCTCCTGGCTCTAGCACAAGGGAAGGGGGAGGGCACTCCCCAGGTGGTGGGAGGGGGGCCCAGGTGCCTGAGGGGTCCTGTGGCTCCCCAGCATTCGGCCAGTCAGAGAGCTCCAGACAGAGTAAGAGAGCAGGGGATGATCCTCCCAGCCCAAGTCCCAAGGAGAAAATGCTGAGATGGAGAGACAGGCATACGTGGAGCAGGTGTACAACTTCCAGGTAGTCCGACCTCACTGAGCTAAGGACACAGAGCAGCTGGGAGGGCGGAGGAGTCTGGGGCTGCATGCCCATGTCCATGGCACAAACTCAGCCAGCCGACCTGCAGGAAGAGAGTCCTCCCTGCATCCAACTCCCAGCCCAGAACACAGGCCCTTGGGCTGAAATCAACTTGCTTCCCAGAGGCACTTCTCTTCCTGTGGCATAAGGGTTAAATGAAGCTCCGATTCATGTGCTGCTGTTGCCACGCTGCCTGGGAGCTGAGGTTGATTAAGTCTCCTCTCTCTCAATCTGCCCAGCCTTCTTCTGTCTGGAGAGGAGCAGAATGAGCGAAGCTTCTCTGCCAAGTCCCCCCGACACATTCCCTTTCGACATTGCCCCACCTCCCTTGCCCTCTGCTTAGGGTGGTCCAGCTGATGAGGAGCACGTGTAGCACATGGCGCTGGTGTTGTAGAGCCAACGCTGGTGGCAAGAACTGGCTTCTTTGCTTGGGCAAAATTGAAGGAAAGCTTCTTCCTAAAGCTTGTGTAGAGGGCAGCAAATGGAGCGGAGGGGGGTCACCGTGTGTTTATTTCTGAAAATCTTCCCAGATGCGACATGCTAAATTCCAGCTGGGAACTGTCAGATCTGCTCAAGGGCAAGGAGCGCTGCATTGCCGTTCTTTCTCGGGACCTCTCCAGACACCAAAGACGGTCAGATTTCCCCTTCTCCTAATGTCCTCCGTGACTTAGGGTCCTCGGACTGCAAGGGCCTCAGAAGGTCATCTCTTCCATCTCCCTACCTCCAGGCAAGCCCGCTGGCTCTGCAATCCATTTCATTAAGTGCTTTGGTTGTTTGTAAAGGGTTCAAGCAAGGAAGGCTCCAGACCCACTGTTCCGACACTGCCAAGGCGCTCTTTTTCATACAAAATTTCAGTCCCTCTGGCTTTCAAGGTTAATCCATTTTTATCTTCAGAAGACAGAATCCTTTCAGACTAACATAGTTCCTCTCAGCAGCACCAGGCATTCTGTTGACATCACAGTCTGTTGTTAGAGCAATTGTGTGATGTCACAACAGACATTGAAAGGGAGGGGCTAATCTACTCTTTTGGACTGAGGATAGAACTTGGTCAGAGGACAATGCAATCAATGAACAGAAAAGCAAAGGGACAACACTATTATTTAGCCTGTGATAAAACAAGCTGGTTAGATATAGCTGGGGTCAACAGCTTCTGATATTTAAGCAACTAATCCTAAATTCAAAAGGCCAATATACGCAGACATTTAGTGGTACATTTGCAAATGTTTTGTCCTAATGACAAGAGGCTTCAGTTTCCAGACACCACACTCTCCCTGCCCAGTTGCCTGAGCCCTGCCGTGGTTATGCCTCTCCTGGTGCACACCTGAGGCCTCCGCCTATGTGCAGTAGAACAGTATTTGTTGAATGAATGAGCAAGTGAATGAATGAACAAAAGAAACTCTCCATGCTCTGATTTAATTTTTATTCACCTGCATTTGGAGTTTGACATTCTATTACCAAGGGCTTCCCTATCTCTGCTCTCTCTTAAAATTAATTACTTCCTCTCCATGAGAGAAGTTGTTTCTGCCCCCTCACCCTCTCACTCAACTCCCCTGCCTGGCTTTCCCCTGAATATACAGTTTAGCTTTGATCCATCTTCATTAAGAGAGGATGAAAATTAAGCTCATCTGCACAGGAGGAGGGCGTGGAGGTGCATTGGGAAAATGAGTTTTCTTTCTCTAGAAGCAAAAATATCCCCTTTCCTTTCAAGCTGAGCCCAAGGGCCTCCAACAGCCTTCACTTAAGTTGCGAGTTGAATTGCTGCTCCTGTGCCCAGTGAAGGCAGCACAGGGAATAGGAATGGAGGCTCAAGCTCGCCCTGCCTGTTGAGAGCTCCGAGATCCTTGGTTGCGTCCACACGCGGCACACAGAATGCCTAGCTGGGGTTCTTTTCCTTTGCTACTAAATTGCACAGAATGGCAAGTTTTCATTTTAGTTTTGACATCAGGAAGAATTTACCAGGTTCAGAACATTAAAACAAACAAACAAACAAATAGGGGTAATCAGTTTTCATTCTCCTCTGCTTTTTCTTCTGGGATTTCAAAGGGCCTCCATTTCACAGGGACAAATGGTTATGAATACATCTCCAAATGGACCTCTCAAATTACACCAAGGAAAGGCAGTAAAGGAGATTTGGGGATGGAGGCAGGAGCATCCAGGTGTTCATCTTGTTCCCTGGACAGGTGAAGGTGGCCTCAACGCCAGTGCCATCAGTGGAAAGAGAATTGGCAAGACCAGGCTTTCAGTCCAAGATGCAACATGAATAAGCACTTTGATTTGACTTCTTTGGCCCTTAGGTTTTGTTTTGTTTTTTAGATTTTATTTATTTATTTTTAGAGAAGGGAAGGGAGGGAGAAAGAGAGGGAGAGAAACAACATGTAGTTACCTCTCATGCACCCTCTACTGGGGACCTGGCCCGCAACTCGGGCATGTGCCCTGACTGGGAATCGAACCTGCGAC